TATGTATGTATGTATGTATGTATGTATGTATGTATGTATGTATGTATGTATGTATGTATGTATGTATGTATGTATGTATCCTTGCACTTCCCCTTTGCTCCCCAGTATTTCCCGCAAAAAAAACACGGTTTTTCCAGCGTTTTCGCAAAGAGGACGTCCAAAAACATTGAGTTTTTCCAGATTTTCGGCAAAAGGATGCAGGAAGCCCAAGCCAGCAAAAAAGCCGGCAGGGGGAATCGAGCCTGGGACCCCTGTTTTGCGACACCGGCTCCCCGAAGACTACGTTTAGTGGAACGTCATCAAATTGCCGCGCGGTACGTGGGGGACCCCCCCCCCCCCCAAAAAACCTACGTAATAGACGTCGGGCGGGGGGGGTTAGGGGGGGGGTTATCCTCTATCCTCTAGTAAGTATCCGACACGCCGAGCAATGTCGGCGGATATGATTTCTGTGTGCCCCAAAAGTCGGCCAAGACAAGTTGGTAGAGCCACAAGTGAGTCTCTGCGTGTATGTTGTGATTCCCTTGTTCATCGCGACAGGGCTGGCCCAAATATGTGCTTGCCTCAAAATACAAGAACAAATGTCTTCCCAATGAAACCAACGAAAAAGGGGCTCCCCCCCCTACAAAGACGGAACACCAACCCCACATTTTGCCAAGTCCGAGGCTCCGTTCCCCGGAGAAGCTTTACCTGCTGGTCCTCCGGCAGAAGGCTGAAGAGCTGCAGTGGCCCGCGGGCCAAGAGGCGCGAGCGCGGCGAAAAACATGTGCATTCGGATGGACCAAATCCGCTTCAAATCAGGTGGTTGGTTTATTCCAGTAGTACCTGGCTTATAGTGTCCCCCTAAAGTGGGTTAAAGGGAAGCAACCCCATGTGACTTTGATAACCCTCAGAAAAAGTCAAACTACTGACCCCAGATTAATCAAAGGAAGTTTAGAAGAAATCCCCGTAGTACCGGCTCTATGGGAAGGCTAGCTGACGTTCGAAAGCAGATGAGAGAAGAAGGCAAAGAAAATATAAAAGAATATAAGAAAGGAGAAGAGAAGAGAAAAGAAGAAGAAATCAAGACAGGCGAAGAGAAGAGGTGACAAGTGTGCGACAGGTGCAGCGCTTGAGGATAGAGAGTGCTTGCGCATCGCTTTCAGAAGATAGATTAATGGATAGACGGATAGACAGGTAGATAGATCGGTGGATAGCTAGATAGCTAGAGAGCGAGATGAGAGCAGTTCAAAAAACTCCCCTTTACATCCCAAGCAGGGGTTGTGTCATAAGAAGGCCGGGTAAGCCAAACTCCGCACGGTAGCACGGCGGAAGCCGGCCCAAGCACTTAATGGGAAAACATGCTGCGAACACACCTGCGCACACTCTTCTTCGCGACTGCTAGTTAAGCTTTGTAAGCATGTTTCACACACGTGGTGTGTGTTTATTGGTGGCTTGTGCTGTTTAAACCTTTGTCGAGCTTGGCAGCTTGTCCAGAGACTTTGGCTTTCGTCAACACTGTGGCCAAACATGTCCGGGATGTGGCGTCGGCCTTAGCTTCATCTTAAAGACGCGGCTTCTTTACGCCCCGCGCAGGCGTGCGGCAGGCGCCAATCCGCACGGCATCCCCGGATGGTCCTCGCAAAGTGGGCTTGAAAGTATTCGAAACTCCTCCTTGAAGCCCACCAAGTCTGAAGCCCTTGAAGGGCTTCAACCTAAAACCTTCGACTTTTTAACCTTCAGAGCCCTAGGGCCTCGACCTTCGGCCCCTCGCGCAACACTCCCCACCCACTCCCAGCCCCCCCGCTCCCCCGGCCGCCTTCGAAGGTGTCCAAGGCCGAGTGCTTCGGAGCCAACCCCGATGGGTTGATGGACGGATAGATTGCTAGTTAGGTTATAGGCAAAATAACAGATATACAGTAGACAGCTACACAGACAGCCAGACAGACAAATAGGTAGGTAGGTAGGTAGGTAGGTAGGTAGGTAGGTAGGTAGGTAGGTAGGTAGGTAGGTAGGTAGGAGATAGATAGGTACGAGATAGATACAGAAATAGCAAGATAGATAGGTAGATAGATAGGTAGATAGATAGGTAGATAGGTAAACTGAAAGAGAAGAGAAGGTGAAGATGAAACGAGTCGTAAGCAAAGCAAAGAAAAGGAACGAGAAGAGAAAGTGCAAGATAAACGCAGAAAGAAAGAAAGAGCAAGATAGCTATGGTTCCTAAGTTGTTGCAACTTCCGACAAGCTCTGCCGGCTCTAGCGGACCTAGGGCTTTCTGAGCTCCAAGGTGTCGCGGAAAACCTTTGGATTCCGCAGGTTTCGCTCGCTTCGTTCCAGTCATCTGCCAGTGCCATCTATTTGTCCCAAGGTCCAGGTCCAGGCTAATTTTGAGGGGGAGGGGTGTCCAATTTAAGAGGGGCTCCGGATGACCTTTTGTGGACACACCCCTCTACTAATCTACCTGGCTGATGAACCCCAAGGTCAAGAAGTTAAGAGGTTCAAGCCACTTTTCCAAACCGGGGCCTAAAAGGAAATTGGGGCATGCAATCACTGTACAACCACTATCTACATCCAATTCTCTGTTGGCACTTGTTTGCCCCGTTGTTCCTTGTTCCCTTTTCGTCTGGCAGGCTCCCCGCTAAAAGTTGCTAGCCGCAAAAAGGATTCCCCAGGCTGGGATGCTGCCGACTGAGTCAACCCAACAAACAAGGATTTGAGGGTTCATTTTTCAGCCCCCCTGGCGCCGCGATTGGTTGCCCAAACCGCAAGCAAGCAGCGATAAACCGGAGGTTGGAGAGGGCCAGCGCAATGAGTGCCGTGGTCAACCATGAAACCCTTGCAACGGAAATCTCCATCATGATGTGTGCAACCCCACTTTGTGTGGGTTCCGTGTACCCACAAATCGGCGTTGCAGGTTGTAGGTGTTCCAGGAAAGTCAACTGGAGGTTTGAGTTGTTCAACTTGGTTCCAGTTTGCGGTTTGGATTGGTGGATTGAAGTTGGAGGTAAGGCGCTCCAAACCGTCAGAGGTCACAGCGCTTCCGCATCTGCGGGAAATTTGTATTGCCCACAGTGGCTTTGCGTCAGGCCCCGAGAAAGCGCCCGGGAAGCGGCCCAGTTCCGTGTCCGCTCGCTCGAGCGGCCAGGAGGCGCAGGAGCACCTGGCGCGGCTGGTGGCAGAAGCGGACTGGGCGCGCGCCCTTGCCGCCTTCCGGAGCTTCGGCCAGGAGGCTTCGGCCGGCCGGCGTCAGAACTCAGCGCCCGACGCGGCTGGTGCGGTCAGGTGAAGCCCTAAACCGGTGGAGTCGGCCTGGTGGAGCCCTAAACCAGTGGAGTAGCCTGGGTGAACCGTCTGCCCAGTTGAGCGGGTCCAACGGAAGCCGTCTGCCCAGTTGAAACGGGCCAAGTGCGTGTCGCAATTGAAGGATTGAAAATGTGGGAGCTCGCCAAGTTAGGTTGGTTGGCTGGTTGGCTGGTTGGCTGGCTGGGTGGCTGGGTGGCTGGCTGGTTGGTTGGTTGGCTGGCTGGCTGGCTGGCTGGTTGGTTGGCTGAGTGGCTGGTTGGTTGTTTGGCTGGCTGGCTGGCTGGTTGATTGGCTGGCTGGCTGGTTGGCTGGCTGGTTGGTTGGCTGGGTGGCTGGCTTGTTGGTTGGCTGGCTGGCTGGTTGGCTGGTTGGTTGGTTGGTTGGTTGGCTGGCTGGCTGGCTGGGGTTGGAAAGTTGGTTGGTTGGTTGGTTGGCTGGCTGGTTGGCTGGCTGGTTTGTTGGCTGGCTGGCTGGTTGGTTAGTTGGTTGGTTGGCTGGCTGGCTGGCTGGTTGGTTGGTTGGCTGGCTAGCCGGCTGGTTGGTTGGTTGGTTGGCTGGCTGGCTGGTTGGTTGGTTGGCTGGCTGGCTGGCTGGATGGTTGGTTGGCTGGCTGGCTGGCTGGCTGGTTGGTTGGTTGGTTGGTTGGTTGTTTGTTTTATTGTTTTGTGTTTGTTTCTTTGTTTGTGTTTCCGGCGCTGGGCCCGGTGTCGTGTCACCGAACAAAGCAAATGTCGGCAAGATTGCCCTCTACATGGTTTAGAATGGACATGTTCAAGATTCATGGCTCTTAAAAGAAATCAACTGGTGTGTCAGGTTTTGGGGACGCCCTTTTGGTTTCAAAGGGAATCCCACATCCCTTTTCTGAACTGGGTTCATGTTTCGGCAAGACATCCTCAAATTTGATTCTTCTCTCGAAGTTGTGTGTTTTAAGGGGAAACCACCGCGTCCCAAAAAGACTGGTCTGAGAACCCTGTAACAGGAAACCACTTTCGCCAAAGTTGCAGTTGGTGAATGGGACCCAGGATTCATGAACCCCTGCTTGTGTAGCAAACCGTCTCGTTGAGTTGATGTTTTTTTTTGCATTTTAAAGATGTTTTTTTTTTTTTCTCGAAAACATGGGAACAAGCAACAAAGAACAGGAACAAACAAATGCGTTGAAGAACTGTTGTCATATGTGGGGCCCAGCCCGCAAGGAAGGGGAACGCCCCCTTTGTTTAGCAGTCTGCATCTGCGCGGGTGTGTAGCACCAGCGCCACCTCGTTCCAATCTGTGGACAGATCCCAAGGAGTTTTGAAGCAGACTTTGCCCCGCGACGTTCACTTGCGACTTGCCGGGCTTCAATCATCCTTCTTGCTGTGAGCCAATCATTTTGTGGTGGTTTATGTTCTTTGGACGTGTTTCTTTGTTTGCAACACCTATCAGGTATTCACCTAAGTCTGCCACCATCCGAATCATTGCAGGAAAACCAGACGCAGGCAAGTGCCAATATGGGTTCGAATCATACCCGGAAATCAGACATACCTGCACCAACAACTTCCAAGGCCGGGAACGTTGTCTTTAGACAGACCCATATTCATTAGTATACGTATACAGTACCTGTATATGCAGATATCTGAGACTCAATCGGAAGTTGTTGCACCCTCCCCTTCTTTTGGTTCACTCTGGATTTCCTTTGGGTCCCTTTGCCCCTTTTTGCGCCAGGCCCCTAGCAGCTTCCGCGTGTCTGGGAAGCGCGCGGGCCGGCGGGCGGCGCATTTAAGCGACTTGGAGCCGAAAGGGCGGGTCAATTCTACCCAGCTGCCCAGTGGGTTGCTTCCTTTTTTCCTTTTCTTGGAAGAATTCCCCGTAAAAGTCAGCCAACCAAAAAGGATGCCCTGTTTATCCCATGGCCAGTGGGCATCTGAGTCTAGGTGCAAGGGGGGTTGTCCAGGTTTTGGAGGGAAGATATATCTACCACGTACAGGTTACAAACCATTGGCTGTTGTTACTGTTGGCAGGTCCAGCTGTACCCTCCCCAGTCTCAGGAATCCTTCTCTTCAAAAAATCGGCCAAACCCTGGAAAGTAGGTGGTTTCTAAAACGAACGAAGGGTGAAGAGGACGGGGGAATCCAACGTTAGAGTTTCCTGTAGGTCGAGCGATCGAACACAGACCTCAAAGACTCCAGCCCAACCCACCCCAACCTCGCCTCCCCGCAAATGCATTGGTCATCCAGAGTTGCTTTCAATGACTTGACACGCCATGATTTTTGTTGGACCAAAGCCAAACGTCCGACATCGCCAACCGTTCAGCATCGTTGACAACGATTTGTCAGTTGAAATACCTTGGCTGGAGTGATCTTCAATGGGAAAAGTGTCATGAATATGCAGTCAAAAAGACCGGATTTGTGCTTCATTCGTAAAACGGGTGAACCAATCATTTGTGAGACCCAAGCTCTGTAGTTCAGCCATCGAGAACAAAAGCAACATCCAACCCGATCCGTAAACATCAGCCTTCCGAATTTAAAGACGCGGGGGGGTCCTCGAGTCGGGGTGGGCCCCTGAAAATCTGTGATTTCAAATCCTTCTGATTTCCCTTTAAGCACCATTCAAAATGTCCCAGTGTGACATTTCCTCTGAAAACGTAGGATTGCTCCGAGCCGAAAAAACAGAACCCAAGCACACGGGTTCGAAACTTGGCATTGCTTTTTGAACACACAAAGCGTAGTCGACGCGAAGCGTGGAACTCCATTCGCATTCGAGGTTCCAATGGCATCGCGGAGTTCGTCGGCGAGGCGATCGATTTGGTCGATCGGTTTGTTTCGATTTGGCCACCGCCAATACTGAGTGTCTTAAAACGGCCCCCTTCAAAAGACGGTGAGTTTTCTTTGGATTTCCCCTTGAACAACCAAAAAGGTGTTCCCAGCAACAAAGACATGTCCGCCCTTGCTAAATATTGACCGAACATGGTTGGTGGACCCAGACTCCCTTTTTTCTATGCTATTGCCTCAGGTCGGCGGGGGGAACCCCTCCCAAACACAGCCTGTCCTTTGATCGGGGTGCCCTTAAGGTACTTTTTGCCACATTTGGCAAAAAGGAAAGGGTGCTTTGAAGGGCATCGCGCACAGGGTGAACAAACCACTTGTTTAATCATGAGACAGGATGACTGTTGGATAGGGAATGCCTTGGTGGACCTTGTGGTCTATTGGTTTGGGAAGGAGTAGATCCAGGGATTGTGCCCCAAAACCAGGGGTTAAGACCCTCGTCATTCAGCCTTGCGCGTGCTAACCTCTGATCATGTTTGGGGGTCTTTGCGATGGTTTGTGAGTCAGTTTATGGCGACTAGGATGTAGGTCCTTTATTACTTACTTGGACAATCTGTTTTTCAGGGTGCGGATTTGTATGCTCGTATGAATCATTATAGCATTCGCAGAATCAAAGTGCCATGGTTCCCCTTTGTTGGAAAAAGGAACACCTTGTACAACCAAGAACCATGATTTTCCAGTGAGAGCTGTGGCCCCTGTCCACACCACTGAAAATAAGCATGTTTATCTCCCATGAACATTCCTGGGTCTTCCGGCCTATTCGGTTACAGGGGCGGCCTTGTCCATCTATTCTGGATGGACAAAATCCTCCCTGCACCAGTTGGTAGGTGGTTTCTCCCAGAATTCATTGGGCTTCGTCCACCCCAACTGGTGGAACATGTTGTCCATTTGTATGTTACACGTCACACATCGTGTGTTCGCACCAAGCCGGATGCCATTGGATATCGCGATGTCCCGCGCCTCATGGCATCTCAATTTGCCGCTCTTCAGTTGGATGAGATCAAGGCATCCCCGCCGTCTTCCGGATTGGGCCTTGTACCTGTCTTGGCACTGAGGCCAGAGGGCTCAGGGAGCAATTCTGTCTGTGAAGCGCGCTAGATGTCAACAAGAGGTTTCTGGGTGAGTTCTGGGTTTGCGAAAGCTTCTTGGCAGGCTTCACCCTGCCTTTTCTTCTTGTTTGTTTTACACTTCAAGGCGTTGTTGTTTTCGTTCGGACTGCCGCAAGATGTGTTAATGTGTGCATGTCTAGCCAGTAGGTCCAGGTACTTGACCTTGCTCAAGCTTGCCTTGGCGGACCCACAGTGTTGCAGACCATGGTTTGGCTGATTCGAGTTTAGCCTTGGCTCATTAGATCATTTTGCGTTGTTGGAGATTTCTATAGGTAACCGAGAGCACTTTCCAAAACTTAAACAGCTCGCCTGTGTGCATTCAGTTTTAACAAAATCGTGTGGCCTGTATGCCGTTTGTGGATATATATATATATATACATATATATATATATATATATATTTGGGGGGTGAAACTTGCTCCATTCATTGAAAAGGGACAATGCTGCCCCAACATTGTTGAATCCTGAGCCTGCTCTTTCACTCGCTTGCAAATTGCCACAAAATAGCGATCTTTGTTTGGAGGATTCTCGTTTTTGTGGACCTGTTTTGGGGTCCTCTGTGCATTGTCGGTGGGGGGGGGGGGGGGCGAAAGGATTTAGACGCGCCAATAGCACATTTGCTTTGAACAACCCGAACCAAGCAAGCGATTGCGGGAGGCCGTGGCAGAAGCCATGGGCTGGCGAGTGGACTTGCATGACTACGACGTTGAGGCCGGTGGAAAGTGTTTCCCCTGTTGCTTTTAAAGGGAATCTCTCACTATTGGAAATATCTTTTTTGCTTTTGTGGGGGCTTAAAGAACTGGAAGCAAGGGAAACTTCTTACAAGCTGCGGGAAGCTGGCAAGCTTCCCCTCGAAATGGGGGGGGGGGGGGGCAAAATATGGAACCACGTTTGAAGGTCCGATGCGAGACTGGGGGAAACCTGGGGCTAAGCTTTGGACCTGGGCCGTTCGCCACTAAGGGCCAGCCCCAGAAGCGTATACTCAACAGCTCAAGACTCCATTCCGGACACTGGTTGACTCTTGAACTGTTGATTTCCTTTTTCCCTTTGAACATCCGAATTTCAATTGGGGAGGCTGCTGTTTTAGGAAACCTCCTCTGCGCTTCAAAGCTGAACCTCTTCTGGTTGTGCAACGCCCAGCCATAATTCTCCCCTCCGCGAGTCGCGTGGGATCGCCTGAAGCCTCTTTCCCAGCTTGGCTTAAAGAGGGCCAAAAGCGCGAAATCCTTGACATGAGGTGTTCCTTTTTGTTCAAGCTCGAACATTCAAAAGCCAGAAGGGGGGGGCTTCCCAAGCTTCCCCTCTCGCTTTCCTCGGACGTCCGGAGGTCGTGGTCCACTTGAATGACGATCACCTCATTGCTCGGACACCCGCGGTGGTGTGCGAGGAAGCCGCCAGTACGGCCAAGTTGTCACGAAGGGTGTGTCTCTAGATGGGCATTCCCCCAAAAAATGAGCTTCCCACTAGGTCCTAGGTTTTCTTTCGAACCCCCCAAAAGGAGCTTTTTTTTCAGGGAATACAGGGAGGTCGTCGCGAAAACCCAACTTGAAAGGGAAAAAGAACAAACAGTTGAACTGCTGGTTCCAAAATGTTGGGAACGAGTACTCACAGCCAGCTTGGAAAGGACCAATCCATGGAAGCGAGGCTTTCCTTCACCGAAGTTGCCAAAAAACGTGTGTAGGTCTACTCCATGTTACGTTTGGAGCAGTGGTTCTTGAGTCGGGTTTCGGGATGTGAGCTAAGGTTAATATTCATTAGACTCTGCATGACTGATGGAGTTGAAGTTCCCTAAAAGAGACCCAATGAACCCCCATGGCATTGCCACCCATTTCATCAGCATCATCATCATCATCATCATCATCATCATCATCATCATCATCATCAAATCTAAGAGCCTCGGGTTACACCCTGGTGAGGGCAACAAATGACTCATTGATGTTCATCGACCGCCTTTTCTACTGCTAGCATACGAGTGGTGCACTACAATAGATTCTATGGCTTAAACCAGCATGATAAGATGTAGGTAGCATGAACTAGCAAGTCCCAGCCCCCGCCCGTTGTGCCGAGCACTTAGGTGGGGCTGCCTTTGCTGGAGCGCGCTGCCCAGCAGGCGGGTAATTTGGAGAGGCAGCGCTCCCCTTCGCAGGTTCGATCAAAGTAATGTTGACCTGGGAGAAATTGATTTGTTGATTTTCATTGGGGGTCAAACCTTCACTTTGTGCGACTTTGTGGGGGGGGGGGGGGACATTTGCTATGATCCGCGACATTCTCCCCTTTTGGTTCCCTTTTTGGGGTTGCTACACTTGGCATGGAGATAGCTGTTGAGACGCAGAGCAGCCTTGCGAGGTTTCCAGTTTCGTTTCAATGGTGCATGTTGCTTGGCTGTGAGTTCCAGGTGAATTCGGAGGTAGATCACACCGTGCCATGCTCCAAGCGAATATTGGAGCAGTGGCAACGGAGGACCTCAGCCGCTTGGATACTGCAATGCTCCCAAACAAGCAGCGCTATCTTCTGATTGCCGGATCCTTGCCTTTGCTGGGCGCTCTCCAGCAACAATCCCTTCCCCAAACTCCCTCTCCCCATGTTTCCTCCAAACTAAGACCCGGACGAGGCCTTGTTTAGAGGACGCCAGAGAGGGGAGATCAGGGGGATCCTGTGAGCTTGGACATCACCTCTCGGATGCCTGCTGAATGTCATATGACACTGCGCACCAATGGGATGGGTGTGATTTAAAGCAGGACGCCCCCCCCCCCAAAAAAAAAAGAGAAAAACTATGGTGGTGTCCCTTTGGTGTTTCTTTAACTTAAGCCCAGAAGAAGGTTTCCCCGAAAAAAAGACAGGCAGAGGACGGGTCCTGCTTCAAACTCGTGAAGGGCAAGCCCCCCTTTCTTGCACGAACCACTCATGTGAGCTCACCATCGGTTTGGTTGGTAAACGAGCATGTACCTTGTTTGCTTGACAGGTCCAAGTTCCGGCGCACCCCACCCAGCGGAAACCTTCCTTGTGACGCTAAGGATCACCAATGGGAGAGGCAGATGCGAGCTTCTTCTTCTTCCTCCTCTTCTTCCTCTTCTTCCTCTTCTTCCTCTTCTTCCTCTTCTTCCTCTTCTTCCTCTTCTTCCTCTTCTTCCTCTTCTTCCTCTTCTTCCTCTTCTTCCTCTTCTTCCTCATCTTCCTCTTCTTCCTCTTCTTCCTCTTCTTTTTTCTTTTTTCTTCCTCTTCTTCTTCTTCTTGTTCTTCTCCTTTTCCCTTCTTTGCCATTTTTCTCCTTTTTCTTCTTTTCAGATCCAGGGGAGCCGCGCCGCGTCGCCAGGCGCAGTTCGCGCTGCCGGGGCTCTCGCAGCCGGTGGCGTGGGCCATGGCCAGGATCCATCGCGGTTGGGTTGGGGCGTGTGCGTTTTTTTGGTGCCTGGGTGTCACTCAACGGCAGGAAACAAAATGACCGAAATACCCCAAAAAACGTGGGGATGTGTATTTGGCCTGTTTTTCTTTCCCCCAGTGGATTCCGCCCCCTTTTTCAACTTTTTCTTGGCGAGGGCCCCCCTTTTAAACTCAACCACGAAATGTGCTTTGTGGTGTCTTGGTGTCACTCAACGGAAGGAAACATGCAGGCAGTCGACAGAATTACCCCAAAAATCCGTGGGGGGGGATGCGTGGTTTGGCCTGCTTGCTTTTGGTGCCGTGTCACTAAACGCCGGGAAAAGATGCTGGGTGCCTGCCAAAAGACCTGGCTTTGTATGGAAATTCCCAGGTGTTGACAAATTGCCAATTGCAGAGTACATTTTCAGCTGTCCTAAAAGAGGATGTCTTCGGGTGTAGCGTGAAGTTTTCCCCCCCTTGAGGGTCGAAGAGGAAGGGTGATTTGTTTAGGTGTCCTGTGGGGCAGAGTGGCTTTGTTACATGAAAGGGGGATGATGTGTTCTGGTGTGGAGTGAATTAAGTAGTACCTGGCGGAATTTGTGAAGGGGTGCTCCCCCTAACAACAGCAGGATCCAACAATAGCAGACTAAGATAAGTCTGAGTTTTCCCTTTTTGTCCGTAACGACAATCTTCAAATAGCGGGACACTCTCGAGATGCCACTTCCACATTTTACCATGCCTGTTCTTTTTTTTGGCGTACTCCCCAAAAAGGTGGTGTCCTTTTCGGTTCCCTTTCCACCCACCAAAAAAGACGGGTACCCAGCCAAAGAGAGGCAGACCCATGTCCAAAGTCTCGTCGCGCGCCGCGCGCGTCGCGCGCCGCGAGCTGAGCGAGTCGCAGGACCATTGAGCCAGCCTTGGGGGAGTTGGTGGTGGACCCGAACCTCGGCGATTGGTCCAAATCTCCCGTCTGATGGCTCGACCAGTAGGGGGGGCAAAAGGATTGGGTTGGACAGGGAAGTCCAAAGAGAAGAAACAACACCCCACGTCCAAGGTTCGGGACCCAATTATTTGACTCCAGCGTTGTGATGGTTGGTGAGAATTGTTGCGGAAACGGGTTCAAGCATATCTTTTGGCCTTGGAAAGGCCGATTTGTTTGAGATTCGTCGTGGGTGATTCATGCGTTTAAAGCTGAACATACAATTGGACCCCTGTGCATCAATTCAAAAGATGCCCCAAGGTTAGCTCGTGGACGGTGGGTTAAATTGGCGTCCTAACATGTCACTTGGGCTCGGGATCCAAAGGTAGTTTTTCTTCCCGAGTTAGACCTTCCGCCATTCGGAAACATGGACAAGTTTGGCTCCAATCTGCAGAAGTGAGTAAAGATACCAACACCCCTAAATTTCAATCCCGATGAAAAGAAAGGTTGACTCAATTTGGATGATTATAATCCTTAGGTAGACAAGCCGGGTTATTTGAGCCCCCATTGTTGTAATCGTGGTTTGAATCCCAGGGAGCAAGGTGTCAACGGGTAAATTCTGGGGTCCAACTGTCCTGACAATGATCAGAAGGACATGGACAAATAACTCTTGCCCCAAGGCGGCAAGTCCCCGTTTATTTGTCTTTTCTTTTTTATTTAACGTAATGGCTGGGTTGCCACTCCTGATACAAAGTTGCGCAAATTTCCTGTGCAGAAAACTCGAGGCGGCTTCTTGCAAAAGGGCAGTGGAGAAGTTCCATTTAGAGGAGGCTAGTCCTTTGGGGCAGACAAAGGGGACGAATCTGGCCAACAATTCGGACTAGGCGGCCTGAAAACTCATGAACCTGGGACGCACAGTGTTGGACTCACCGCCCCTCCCCTGTTTTATCAACCAAATGGTGTTTGATGGGAACTGAAAGGAACCAGTTGCCATGAGAGGTGCCTAGCTGCGCAAGGAATCACCTGGCAGAGGCATAGAGGTTGCAACCTGCATGATACGCCATTGGCATCCCGTATCATTCACCCAGATGTCAGGTTTTCCTTTGAATGGCGATTCAGAACTGAAGGGAGGGTCATTCCAACCTCAGGGGAGTTGGCACGGCGGTTCCCATCCGTACCCTTGGACTTGTGGACTTTGGATTTTTTAGAGGTGATGACATGCCGCATTAGAAACTGATATCACGTTGAGCAAGGGATCAACCGAAAACCGCTAGGTCTTGACTGCACCCTTAGATTCGGGGGATTTTTGAATGGACCTCAACTGAGGTACCCGCAAGATGGGCTCGCAGAAACATCCAAACTTTGCACCAAGGATGTGTGGGTCCGGCATTGTGCTCTTGGAGGCCGGCTTTCGATTGTGTTGGGCTTGCCAGTTTTTGGCGGCGCTGCCAAGAAATCCAAAAAGAAAACGCAGATCCAAAACCCGATTTGGACATAGTCACTTGTTTACCTCCTAGTCGACGGGTTTGAGTTCAACCATCGAAAGGATGCCTGTAATAAAAGGCTAAACATGTTGTTTGATTGGTTTACTCCTAGAATGAATCCTGTCATCATAGCTGCGTTTGGTTTTCAAGTATCCTGCAACCAAGTTCGATGTATTTAGGCCCTTGTAGTATTTTGCTCAGGGAAATGTACTGGGCAAGTAAGGTAAGGTGGGCAGGAGAGTGAAGCGGGCCTCACTGGAGGTTGGGCCCCATCGCTACTCCCATCGATGAATCCCACAAGAAGGGAACCTCTGCAAATTCATGGCAGGAAACGTGACATCCGGGAGTTGTGCTTGAGGTGCTTCGCCCGGCAGAGCTGTTGAGTTGTTTTCGCACTCCGGTTTCTGCAGTTGAAGGTTGTTTTTGTGAAGATCAATTTAGTTCTAGAATAAAACGTCTGGCCTTGTTCTGGTCAATCCACTGAGGAAGTAAGCTGCTTGTTGAAATCTGATGTTCTTGATCACATCTTGTTGCCTGTAGCATTTCTGAACTGTTGGTGTTGCCTGACACACTGTCGTATCACTGAGTTATTGGTGTCTAGCTCACCTGCGACTAGCAGCTTGGTTTCCGGAGGGTATCTTTTCGAATCCCCAACCCACCAATCCAGCCATCAAGGGATAGCTGACTCAGTGTTGACACCAGAACAGACTTTGACACACATGTTTTTGCTGGATTTTTGGAATTCAACGTTTCACCAAGCTGTATCATCCCTAGACAGAGAAGCATGACAACCTCCAAGTAAGCAGCTAGTGAGGATTGACTTGGCGCCGACCTGTGATTTGGGCAACAATCCCTCGTATGAGTCTGCCTGTGGTTGTGCGCGCCATTGAAGACGAAAGGAACACACACACACACACGTGTCAATGATTTGTTTTGAAAGGGCACCACACCTGCAAAAAGAACGCAAGCAATACACAATCTGGCAAAAGGAACACACAGAGTTTTCTATTTTTCCCCTTGGCTTTGAACATCATTTGTCGGAAGGTGGTGTTTTTTTTCTGAGTGTCCCCACCCCCTTCCCCTCCCGCCCCGAAATGTTTGGCTCCCCTTAAGATGGCGTGTTGGCTTTTGGTTGCCAGAGATTGGGGAACTCCCCAACTGAAAGGGTGTGCATTTGTCCGAAGCTGATATGAATCCTGAAGCAACACCTGAAATTGTTAGTTTTTGTGTGCTTTCCCTATGACCGAACATCCCAAAAGCCAGCCCAAGCCTGGACTTGGAGACACAGCCATAATATCTACATCAGGCCCCAAACACGCTTCACTCAGTGGAGTTGAGTGCCCAAGAAAAAACAAACATGTCATGACCCCTCCAAAAGTTAGGTTTATGACACTCCTTACCGGACAATCTCGCGAAAATTACCACTATGAGTGTTTCCTTTTGGTTTCCTTCTAGAAAGCATTCGACTGAGGGGCAATAATCTGCTCTATCGTTACCTTCACGGCATCCAGCCGAAGAGTGTTTGATTCTTGGGGTCATGAATCAATGGGCCCAAACTCAACAAAGGATTCGCTGCAAAAGGAGCCTGAAAAGAAGGTGGGACAGTTCCAAGATAGTTTCATCATTCTGTCTCCCGCCCTTCTTTTTGATTTCCCATCTACGCCATCCAACCAGGGATGTCCCTGACCCGGTGACCCCCCGTGCTCTCGGCCAGGCGGCGCAATGCTGGCGCGGGGCCTTCTACTTGGGCTTCGAGGAAGACCCCCGCCAGCTGGACCGGCGATCGGGCGATCGGGCGTTCAGCCGCCCCGAAACCCAGCGGCTTGCGACGGGGGGAGGGGGGGGGGAATGGGATGTATCGCTACATAACTTTCATGCGAGGGTAAAATGCCATGCTGGTACGCGAAAAAAGCTTGGTCGCTCAAAGCGCGGGTAGAAGAAGTTTAGCAGGGCTGGGTAGGCTCCTTCAGGATTTGGTTGTGACTCATTTAGACTTGTGCCCTGAAGAGGGTCCCCCACCTCATTTCTTAGACCCACGTGAGTTCAAAGCAAAGGCACAAGTTGATGGAGGCTCGGTGGACCGAAATTGCCGTTGACTCGTTGAGCATGCTGGTTACCATCCACTAGCTTGCCCAAAAAACAAGTCAGTTCGACCAACCGAGGATGAGTATTGACTGTTGCTCTACCTCTTTGGGCAGCAGGCTTGCGGTTAGAACTATGCCCAGTTGTCCAGCTTTGGATGGAACCCGTATTGCTTTGCACGTGTTGCTACGTTTCCATTTGCAGCCAAGAGAGCTTTTTTTTTGATTCTTGGGGGGGGGATGGATGTAACCTTGGGAACTGAACCCTTTTCTCCCACCCCAATAGTCAAAACCTTACACGGTCCATTCTCACCTTGGGTGGAGGTGATCTATCATGCGTTTGAGAAGAACGGAAGTCAGAAGTTCATGCTCTTAGCCCCAGGCCGAGGTTCCAATTCAGTGGGAAGCGACTGCCTTCAGGCCTCCCGAGCCAGCTGCTTCCGCGACAGCCTGGGTTGTGATCTGGCATTGGTCTTGTCTTTGCAAGGCCTCTGCATCCTTGGTTGCTCGTTGATTCAACCTTTAACAAGAGTGAGTTCGGAACATGAAGGTGTCCAATTTAACTAGCCAAAGCTTAAGTACCTTGTTGTGAGAAGTGAAGACCAAGTAGTGGCAAGTTGTTGGTGTTCCCTTGATTTCCGGTGCAAGGGGCCTTTGTTTCCTTTGGTTTCCCTCAACAAAAGCGGCACATCCAGATGTCAAACCAAACGGAGGCCTCGCTCCCTCAAAAAACGCGAGACACCCGCCATGGGAATCCAGGAGCGTTGCCGGCAAAACCGCTCGCTGGTGTCCCCAGATGCGGCCAGGAGCCTCAGAGGAAGCATACTTGGATCTTCAACCCACATAGTAAGTAGATTATTAACATGTTTATTCCCGGGGCAAGTGGGGTTGGTTGGTTTACAGTGTACAGTTTCCAGCCTTACTCGTAGACGTTATCAGAGTTTAGAGTTGCTTATGACATATCCCACCAACAGTTGACCGCAGTTAACAGTTGGTCCCAGTTAGCAAGGGATCAATGAGTACTAAAGCAATGGAAGCATAGGCTTGCTTGTAATGTCAGTTTGTTTGGTGTACAGTTTGTGGTTTGTTTTAGGCATAAGTATCCTTAGGTCAGTTTGCCTGAAATAGAAACATTCCACTGGTTTCAGCTTTGCTCCAATTGTTCATGTGCCAGAGCCATGTTTTTTTTTTTTTCCCACAAGGTGGAGTTTTGGAGAGAAATAGGTCGGGAGATGGGGCATTGGGTAAGTGAGCTAGGAATGAATCAACCTGGTGTTTGGACTTGGGCCTGCGCAGAGTCTACAGCAGATGCCCGAAATATTGCAAGTAAGGGAACAAGGAAACCCTCCATTTTATGTTATTTGTCATAGAGTTGTGATTGAGTATGGTTGACTCAGTTGTGTGCATTACGGTAAACCAGCTCAAGCACGATAGAGGTCCGGACCAACTAGAACGAGCTGAAGGTAAAACGAGCCCTCAGCCAGCCCACTCAAGGTTGATCCTTTGCCTGATTAGGCGGTTGTGGTTCCATGGGGTACTTGTCAGCAACCCACAGGTGGTCTCCGGAACAACCCCTTGCATCCAAGGGGTTTCTCCAGCCTCTTGGTAGAGGTCATGTTTGTTCCAAAACAGATAGCCCCTCTTGGAAACAAAGGTTGCCAAGCAACAAAACAAAAGCAAGCGGGTTCTGTGGGCATACAACAATCAGTGGATATGATGGCTTTTGCAAGAGTTGGACACCAGCACCCATCCAGAGTATGCCCCAACCACCTTAAGATGGGTGTGTCTTGTCTTGCAAACCGCTTTGGGCCCATCAAGGTCCCTTTGCTGGAAAACTAAAGAGAAGCCCATCATGTCAGAAGCCAATCCTTTGACAGGGCCTATTATGTTTGGGTACCCTTTTCGGGGTTTGGAGCCTCTGCACAACCATTCAAGGATTGAGCTCGTTGAAATCAGTTTTCAAGAGTAGCTTCAGACTACCGCGCAACCTTCCTTGAGACAAAGCCACGCATGTGGATGTCATTTGAGGGTGCCCTTGCTTGCGGGACACCACAGACACATACCCTTTGGCGACAAACCTGACATATTTGGATATGTCTTTTTTGTCCCCCAAAATCACGGTTTTCCTTTTTGTCTTCGTCTAAAAAGCCCGCCAAATCGCACCCATGTGCGCTCGCGCATTCGCACTCGCGCGCCATACAACCGCCCAAAACCACCAACAACATCCTTTTGGGTGTACCCTCAAAGAAAGAGAGACCCATTTGCACCTCGCACAGGCTGCCAGCGTCGGCTTCGCGCGCGGCGATGCCCGGCGCCTGCCGCCCGGGGCCCAGGTGCCCGCACCTGGTGCAAGGGGCCAGGAAGGGGGGGACCCAGAGATGAGCGGGGTTGGTGGCTCGTGTTTTGGTTGTTGGTGTTGTGTTCGGTTGCGTTTGGTGCTTTTTGAAGTTGTCCATCACACCCCGGAATAACTGTGAATTTGGTTGACACCCACACTATGGGCGTGTCCTGAGATAGTTGGTTCCCACAAATGCTTTACGTTTTGTTCTCGCTTCAAACTCCTCCAAACACGATGTCCAAACTGTTTCTAGGACACCCTCGCCAGCCCGGCAAGGGCTACGCCAAAGACCTCGAGTTTTTTCGGGTTTGGGATGGAGCCTGGGGTCCCACTGGATTTTCAACTGAACGGGGGGGCGGAGAGGAAGCCGCAAAACCTGAAAGAGGCTCCCTGGGACAACACTCCAGTTGTACATATAGGAGGGCGATGGTTATACAGTATGTTTGTTTCCCGATGTTGGTGTCACTAAAATGAGGGAAACGCCTTGTCCTCCCAAACAGGCTGTTTGTTTTGCATTGTCATGAGGATGTACCCCCCCCTCCCCCACCCACCCGCACGCCAGTTTTGGATCAAAGGACCGAGATAAACTGGGCTATTTCACACATTGAAAGGGATGAACCGAGAAATCCCAATACCTCCCCCTACCTCCCCCCATCCCCGACTCGACCTCCCTGCCCTCGGATGTGTTTGTCTCTGCTTTGGTCTTGAGGCTTCCCAACTCCTCCGTGGCAGCCGTGGTCTGCGACCTGCCCTTCGGGAAGCAGTGCGCCCCCTTTTGTTGTTGTTTTCGCAATGCTTTGCCATTGCCTTGAATTGCTTGTTTGCCATTCTTTTGTCAATACTCGTTTGGTGACTGTCCACCGGTAAGCTTTCTTCCCCAATTGGGGGCGGAGTGCTGGTCATCTTTGGCTCGAAGCAACCCTGTTTCTGGGGCCTGGTTGGGGACGGCTTCAACTAAAACTTGGGTTGCCCCGCAGCTACTCGGAATATCTCGGAGCACAAGACCTTTGATTCTTTTCTGGGCACCTCAAAGCAGACTGTCTGAACCTCCAAGCACTTGGCTCTGTTCATGTTCCGCGGGTCTGAGCTACAATACCCACTGGCAGACGGACAGGTTGGGGACCTGTTGCGGCCAGGCCACTCAGGAAGTGAGGGCGCCCGAAGGTCAACTGGAAGATGAAGCCTCGCGAGGTACGGCAGCGAGGAGGGCGGCCGCCTCGGTGCCATTTGGCTGTTGGTCGAAACCAATGGGATCCCATGGAGTAGGTAGGTGCACCACCCATTTTAATCTTTTTTTGTGGGGGTTGGGATGTTCACTGGGGGATAACCGGGATTTTCACCCATGGCCGTTTGACCACTTGGCATCGAACTCTGGAGTCTCAGTGGTTGAGTGGCACCTTTCTTCTCTTGTTGCTTGGGTTCAGGACACAAAATGGGATCTGCAAAGGGACGTATCTTTTTCCTGCAACTGCGCCGCTGGCTTCAAGCAACACCAGGGCAGAGAATTGGCCGGCATCAGCTTCATGGTTCTTTGCATCTGTGTTAGTTGGTTATTGGTTTGGTCCTCTTCATCTTTGCAAAAAGCAAGGTTCTAGGGGTACCTTCACCATTCTTTTCAGGGATCCTTCTTTTCAGGAACCATCAAAAACCCGGGGGAAACAGCCGGTGTTTGACAAGAACGCTGGTTGAAAAGAATGGTTGGAATCAACCCCTGACATACTTGGAGCTTCATACTTGGTCAACCTTTTAAAATTTAGATTACCTGTGACCTTCATACTTGGTCAACCTAGAAAGGTGTGTTGCTGCCATGCCAAGGTTTGGGACGTCAACGTTAGTAGAGCGAACCTGGAGGCATTTTTCCCGTGTGATTGAGGGACAAGGACCAGCTCGGGCTCCAGCATTCAGTTGGGCTCCGGGGGGTTGCAAGTCGGAACACCAGACTGACCAACAGAAGAGAACCCGTTCTTTTTTCCTAAGGTCAGGGCTCGGCTGAGTTATCAAAGTTATCAAACCCATGTTCCGCCAAAAACACTGTGTCAAGCTCGGAGCGCCATTCGATCCGAGACAACCTGCTGCTCTACCCGGCAGCTCTGAGAGAGTTCCGACGCGCTTCGAGCTGAGACTGCGATCAGCCGGGAAAGGTCCAGGGTTGAACCGGAAGAGGATTCCCTTAAAGGAAGCCAGAGGGGATGGTTTATAGGGGTCATTCCCTCATTCCCTGCTGAGAACCCCAAGAATACTCGCGCATGGGTGTCTTGTGATCTTGATGCATTTTGGCTTCAATGGCCAAATCTGCCACCCCATTCCTCTCATTTAGGCCCTCGCAGAACAACCGGGCCAGGATTCTGTGCCCAAAAATGCCAACGGTTGGCTCTCAAACTTGGGGCCCTCTTTCACCTCCATGTGATTACGACTATGTTCTATTTTCCCCCCCGGTTGTTTTAAAGGGTATCTACGATGAGCATGATTATTATATCATTATCATTATTAGTATTATGGGAAATATGCGCATTTGTGTCAGGGGACTTAAGCAAATGGAGGTTTAGGATGGTTTGCAAAGGAAGAGGAAACCAACGACCTGTGACGCCCCCCTTGTGAGAACAACCACATAAATCAGACACACTTCCATTCCAAGGTAAAGTTGGTTTTGACCTTGTGGTTCAACAAACAAGGAGTCCCATGTTTGGTGTAGAAGGCCTTTGAACAGCATGCCTTAGTTGGAAAGTAGTTTTAGAGTTCCGCAACATAAAGACAAACCCATAGGAGTGACAAAGCACCCGATTTTTGACCTTAGAATAAAAGCGGATCTCTTGAGAACGAATCTGACCACCAGCACCAAAGTGTTTGGTGCAAAAGGGAAATTATGGAAAGCTACAAAGACAAAAGGGCGAAACGATGCATTCTTTTGAGCCACGGTCAGAATGTGCCTTTGATTCCTGTAAAAGGACACGGACATGAGTTGCTTTCCTGCCTTTCGTTGCTCCCATGTCCCTTCTAAATTGCCCATACTGGCAATCAAACAGCCCACTTTAAGAGCAACTCCCTTGCTGTCCCGAAATCGGGAACCCACTTTTGGTCGCTAAGGTGTGGTCACGTGCCTTTGGGCAAACCCTCAAGTCCCCAAAGACGTTCGCCGAGGTGCTGCGCAGTGACGGGCGGGTGGTCCTGCTCACCAACCAGGCCTTTCCAAGTCGGAACATCCGAAACTGAGGTGTGCCACAAGCAAAACCCAGGGATTGATGAAGGATAGTTAGGGAAAATCCCCTCGCTATACATAGCGGATATCCGCTTTCTTAGTTCTTGAAGCATGGTTCTGGGTAGACCATGTCATTACCAGGTTTTGATTATGACTCAGGTGGGCCTGCCTAAACTGCTGGACGTTGTTGGGATTGTGGCGGCATCAAAAAAACAGAACCCTTAAGTATGATAAGTAGGATCAAAAGAGAGGTAATGTGAGTAGTGATTTAGGCCTTAAGATCTTGCTCCCTTTGCAGATGAACGACAGGAACCCGAAGAGGGAGCCCCGCAAAAGTGCATTCCTCCCATTTGGAGTCTTGTGTGTTCCCTGTGAAACTTCAGGGTCATATACCTTTAAACATATATTTGTTGTCTTCGTTCAGTAGCGGTTGTGACCAGAATAAATGTTTTGCCTTGTAAAGCAATGGGAGTCGAATCTGGTGGTTAGACCTCGGATTCTGCCTGGATGGGCGGCAACTCGTCAGAAGTGGTGCTCCCATGTTCGATGTTGGCCTGTTGTCTGTTTTGTTTCCCGATTGAGGTTTGGTGTTGGTCGCGGCTTTTCATGTTTGATCCTTATTGTGTCATGACAGTCCATATTTTCGGCCCGTGTGTCATGCCAACCCAAATGCTGCGCTCACGTTCGTGTGCCCAGGCCGTTACACACGAGGGTGAAGGACCTCGTTTTAATGAGGGAGCCAACATTCAGGCCGCGCTCCAAAGAGGGCCCTCAGCAGCTTATGTGCAGTTTCATTCCGAACTAATAAACCCTGCGGATGGAAAAGGGTTCTTACACCAAAAGTGAAGGATGATCTCAGAAAGTAGCCCCAGTTGTTCAGTGGGACACGTGTTCCACATCTTGTTGCAGCTGTGCTCCCTTCAAATTCAAGGCTGGGGAGTTTATTCCCATGGCCAGTTGGCCAGTTCAGGCCATTGGTGCATTGCTTGAAGCAGCTGCTATTTTCCATTGCTCAACTCTCAACGGCTTTGTTCCCAGATGAAAATCAACGTCAACCAACCTGTTGAAGTCATGATATGTCACGCCGCTTTGCGAGGCCTTATGTTGTTGGATCGTACTTCCTCCATTTGTTTAATATTGTCCCCTGTATTTTTTTTTGAGTCCCCTGTTGGTTTCGGAGGGAATATATTCCTACCGGACATCGGTTTACTTTCCAGGGGACTTAAGCAAATTAAATGGATGACTTAGCTTCGCACGGCGGTTGTTTTGCTGTGTGAACAGGCCAACGCTGCGACGCTGCTAGAGGCCCGGGAAAGGCAGACACGTCGGGAAGAGCGAGAAAAGTAAATGCCCATAGCCAGGGTTCCATGTGTGGCGATGACCCATAGGTAGATTTAGACCGAGAGCTTTCCCTCGAAAAATCAACCAGTGGGTTTCAGTCTACTTGTTTTTCTTCTTCTTTTTTCTAAAAAAAAAGGACCCTGCCCATAGCTGCCCCACTTGCCTGTTTAGCTTCCAAGCTGCAGGACGAAAAGCGTAAACTTTGGCTGGCAAGTCGACTCAGCAGGTTAATGTACCCGTGTGTGTCAAGAGAAGGGGCTAAGCGACTAGCATTAGTATTCCAATAAGTGGATGCTCAGGCTCTATACTGTGATACGCGCGGCTCTGCCGCAAGTGCGCTTTCTTTTGTTGCTAGAGATGCGGTATTCCAATCAAGGCGCCTGCGTTGGAGTATCTCCAACAGCCGCCTGCCAGGGTAAGTTCCAGGATTGCCCGCATCTGCTGTTGGAGAACAACAACTCAGCCAAATCCAAATGACCTCCCGTTCCCTCCCCATATTGACACGGAACCTCGAAAAAAAATATGTCCTTAGGAACGGAAGCTTCTTTCTGGATTCGAGTGCAGGACGTCTCGAAGTCCCTGGGCTGAGTTGCCCGAGCCTATCACCCTGACGGCGATGGCTCAAATTAACTGCAAAGGTTCTCCCCGGGCGCGGTTGTTTTGGTCCTAGTTTGCGAATCGTTTTGGTCCTAGATTTTTTACTCGTGTCGGCCCCTGATTGTTCTGGTTCTAGTTTGTGTCCTGTTTCAGTTCTAGTTTGCGTCTCGTTTCGGTTCTAGTGTTTGCTCGTTTCAGTCCTAATTCCTCTGTCGTCCTACACCGGTCCGAGAAACACGTATGATTTTCAGACACAGCCTCTGGCTCATGCAGAGACCGGCTGCTCGGCCCCGCAAAAAGCCGGCTGAGATGACTCGAGTTCAGTTCTCCAGGACCAAAAGACTTGGCCAGGTGTTGAAACTACGACTCAAATGAGCGAACACTAAAGCTTGGAAAAGGACTTTTTTGGAGTTGACAGGGGACACTTCTTCCATTTGCTCAACAAGACTTGTATTTTCCCTTGAAGCTTTACAGGGACCTCTCACTGGACATCTGTTTTCGGTTTGTCCAAGGCTCAGCTTCCCTCGGGCTGCAAGAAACCGCAGGCGCTGGAGGGCTGGCAAGTGGACTGTCGTCGGAAGGTGCTCCTTGGGCACATGGAGGCCGGTGCCCAGTTGCTTTGGTTTGGGGCGGGGGAAGGCCGGGAAAAGCCCGGGAGGGGGGCGGAAAGAGGGGGGAAAAGGTGGGGGGGAAGGGGCGGGGGGAGGGTTTTTGAATGGCGGCAGTGTGGGTTTGTGGTTTGTTTTTGTTTTTTTGCAGGGGGTGTGCTTGGGATTGAACTTTCTTGTTGGATATACAGGATTTTGGGGAGCCCCTTGTTGGGAGGCGCTTGTGTCCTCTACTTTGCTGGTTCTCCGTGAATCGTGTGCGAGGATTGAGACCATCATTTGACCTTGTGTCAGCTTTATATGTTTTGGTGGGGAGTGTTATGACCATGACCGGCCCATTCTGTCTTCAAGAAAAACTCATGGTTGGAATATTACACTGGACCCTAAATGGCTTGTTATAAACTCAATCCCCTCCCAAGAAAAAAGGCGATTTGCCCCGTTGACCTTTAGAATTGCGGATGCAACAAACATGCGGACAGGTTCGCCCCAACCCAATATATCCCGATATCATAGGATCCAAACCGCCGCTCCCCCTTGCCCCTGGTTTCCTCCAAGCAAGGCCTTTCTTGTCCTGTTTAACCACCTCGGGGATGGTTCTTGTGGTGGGTTGATTCGGTGCACTCGGCCTTTGGATTGCGAGGTTTAGCCAGCATGTGGGGACCTGGTTCGGGGAGTCAGGCATGCCGTTCATCGCAAGTCGGTTCCTGTTAAACAAACTGGAGTTTTCTGAGGAGTTCCCCTCTTGCGAGGCTTAAACATCGACTCTTGGTTGGCAATTGGAATGAGTTTCCTTTGGGGTTGATGCTTAAAGGGGAAATATAGCGAGCCCTGCAGATGACCCCTTCGAACATGTTGAAGGACGTGTTGTACGCTCTGGGTGTCTCATTTTTGGACACTTCATTTCTAACATGTCGAACATGCCAACGCACCGTTTACTACGTGCACTGCACGGAGCTCGTGCCTTAAGCAGCAAATTAACTGGCACCATCCACGTCAGAGAGCCACCAGGACTTGTTGCAGATCATTCTTTAGTTAAGGCCCTTTTTTGCTGGACATGGGTGTGACACGGCTTTTGGTACCGGTTTTTTGGTACCGGTTTTTTGAGCCACGGCCACATCACAAAAACACGTTTGGATTCCTGTCCTCCCGCCATTGGGACGGGGTCTTCCCATTGAACCCCCGGCTCGATCCGGGCGCGAGGCCTTGCTGTTCTTGGCGCGACCTTCGGGCTCAGGCGAGGTGGAGCTGCGTTTCCAGTTGGTTCCAAGGGAAGAGGACCGCCATTTTTCTTGAGGGCCCCTAGTGTGACACTTAGTCATACGTGTTCTTTTGTGAAGCCCTCACAAAAGTGGCAAACGACAATTTAGCTGATGAACAAAAGGTGACGCAAAGAGGGCTGGTCTTTGGACTTGGAAACGCCGCCGGGGGGCTAGGGGCCAAATTCATCAAGATGACATGGGGGTCATGTGTCTTGTGGTGGGCTTTCAATGTCCTAGTCTTGTGGGGCAACGCAAGGATAGCTCACATCATGCAAGCTTGAGGGGGGGGGGGGGCACTTCTGGACTTGTCTTCTATTCTGTTGCCCGTTTCTTCAGTGGCACCCTTCTTCCTTAAACGCATGTTAGTGTCAACAAACAAGTGTCAAGGAAACAAAGGCTCCTTCCCAGTGATCGGAGACTTTTCACGAAAGCTAGCTCCTTGGAGCTAAGCTGGAGTTTTTGTTTACCTCAGCTCTGCTGAGAGGATTGGGTCGAAAGGTGGAGTTAAGCGTTTAGGCTTGATTTTTCACGGCACTTTGGCCCCCCCCCCCCAAAATGTTGAATGATTCAGGCAACCCCCCCCCCCCGCCCATGAGCGAGAGAGTGTGCGTGTGTGTGTGTGTGTGTGTGACGGCCTGAGAGCCTAGCTCGAGTTTTTGTTTTACATCGAGACTGCAGTTACGCGTTTGGGTTTCATTTTTCGTGGTACTTTCGGGTCAGGGGAGGGATGGAAGCCACTGTGTTGGCCATGCCGTTTGCGCTGCCAACCAGCTCCGGTCCCGCGCGCTGACTTTTGCATGCTTTTTCTCTGTGTTTGGGACTGCTTTTCTGGGCAAGAAGCATGCGCGACATGAACATCGGCGAGCCGTGGCTCTGTCACTGCGGGGCCCCAGCCGTGCTCAGCGTGCCTTTGCCTCCCCCAACCCGCATTTTGTTGCAACCCTTAAGGAAGCTTAAGGGTTGATACGTCAAACTTGTTGGTTCGTGCGTAGCTCAAGTTGTTTGTATGTTTGTCTTGTGTTGAGATGCGTTCCGTGGACATTTTTCTACCACCGGGCGGGTCGACTGTGAGTGGACGCACGTTTTGCTGTAACCCTTAAGGACGCTTACGGGTCGCTTTTCCCTCGGTGGGTGAGAGTTTTGTTGCAACCCTTCCGGAAGCTTGAGGGTCGATAGGTCGAACTTTTTGGCTGCTGCGTAGGTAACGGTGTTTGTCTTCTTGTCTCGCATTGAGATGCGTTCCGACCGCTGCAGCCACGAATGCTCGCGCAGCTCACCGCAATCTAGCGACCCTGCCAAAAACAAGCGCTAGCTTTCGTGGCCTTCTCTCAAGTTTTGTTTGCGTCACCCCTCAACTTTTTGCAGTTTTTGGGAAAACATTTTACTGTCAAGGAAACAAAGCCTCCTTCCCAGTGCTCGGAGGTTTTTTTTGTTTTCGTCACCCTCTGAACTTTTTAAGCAGCTTTTAGGACAAACATTGGAGTGTCAAGGAAACAAAGGCTCCTTCCCAGTGTTCGGAGGCTGTTTTTGTTTGCGTCACCCTCTCAACTTGTTTAGCAGTTTTTGGGACAAACATTGTAGTGTCAAGGAAACAAAGGCTCCTTCCCAGTGTTCAGAGGATGTTTGCGTCACCCCCTGAACTTTTGCAAAATTTGGGAAACACATTGTAGTGTCAAGGAAACAAAGGCTCCTTCCCAGTGCTCGGAGACTCTTTTTGTTGCGTGACCCCCTGAACTTTGCACCTTTCGGGAAAACCCATCTTGGCGTCAAGGAAAAGCAAATGAGCCACAATCAAAAGCCGGGTAGATGAAGGCTAGTAAGGGGCAACCCCAACCATAAACAGCTTCGGAATTCCGCCTGCTTCATTCTTGAAGCATGGTTCTGGGTAACCAACCAACCATTTCAACCAACCATAAATAGCTTCGGTCGCCTGCCGACAACCAACCATTTCAATACCGGTTTTGCTTCTGACTCCACTGGGCCTTCCTTGCCCTACGCGTCCTGAGAGCTGCCAGGCGCCATCGCGGAGGCGCGCGGCGCGCGGCTTCGCGCGTCGCTGATCCGTTAGGAGAGTGGGCCTGCCTGAAGCAAAAGCAGCCCCAAAGTGTCCAACATGGGCATGGGATCATACATAGGAACGTCTACAATCAGCCTTAGCCTATTTTTCGGTAGGCACATATATATATATATATACACCCGCGCGCAGTTATATCCTTTCCATTGAGCCGAGCCTGTTTTTCTCTCTGAGCTCCCTCCCTTGCTGATTGCGAGCCGCAGCTTTGCACACAGATGTTTGTCCTTTGGTACAAGCCGGAATCCGTTTGTTGGCGCCTGACAGATAGCCTTCCATGTTTGATTGAAATTGTTGAATGAGTTGGTGATTGGTGGGTTGGTGGGTTGGTGGGTTGGTGGGTTGGTGGGTTGGTGGGTTGGTGGGTTGGTGGGTTGGTGGGTTGGTGGGTTGGTGGGTTGGTGGGTTGGTGGGTTGGTGGGTTGGTGGGTTGGTGGGTTGGTGGGTTGGTGAGTTGGTGGGAGGGGGCAAAATCTTTTCATAGACCATAGAGTCACTTTGTAGGTATAGGTGCTAAGTGACATTGGCCTAAATGATCTAAACCGTAAGGGTATTGAGAATGGTGTTGTGGTTGTTGACAGCATATGTGACAAAGAGGCATCCTCGCCTGCTCCACAGTTGTCGTCTCTCCACCAAGACGCAACTCTTTGTACTTGGCGGCTTGGTGAGCTTCGGCCAGCAGGAAAGAGACAAATGTTTCCGAAGCCCCTGAAGAGCACCAGCTGTTTGGGTGGAGTCTCCTCTTTCCCCACATCCCACATCTAGAGATGGGAAAGGATGCGAAAGGGAAAGGACAGGAGACATCTCTCTATCTCTGATGTCTCCCTTCCCTGTCTGTCTTACCAAGAATCCAGACAGTTAGGTAAGGAATAGACTGGAGTGAATACGAAAGGAAAGGACGAGCCGGTGATGGGAAGAGAAGGGACCCATTCACCTGCAGTCTCCTTCATTCGTTCGTGTTCTCTCTCATTTGGAGTCTTGACGGAGAATGTGGGCGAATTCCCTTCTTTGGGGTTCCATGGCACTTCTCCTGTTTTTCTGGAATCAGAGGGCATTTCAAGATGCCCGCGCGTCAAAAGAGTTCCACTGCCTGAAAGTGCACCCCTCAAAGGAAACGGAGCGCTGTGTACCTGCTAGTTTCGCTTGGGGCCCCCCTAGACTCTCCCTCCTGCCACTGGGAACTTTATGGAAAGTGGAGGGTGTGACCTTTGTATTGTTGTTATGTATCGGGCTGCAACGGGTGGACATCACGAACGTTATTTTGCCATGGCACTTGGGATGGTTTTCGTCCGGACCCAAAGGTTGATTCCTGGCCGTGGTTCAATCGCAGCGACTTCCCGGGGTTTGGGGAGGACAGGATGAGCTTCGATGTTCCATCAGACTCCCTGCGTCTCTGGATTTGAAGCTTTTTTGGAAGGCCGTGTCGGTAAACAACCAGTTTGGACTTGTTTGGCCCATCCAGGAAGTGAGAACGAGGAAAACTGGTTCAAAATGGGCCCACCCCCACAGCTTGAGGGGATCAGGTTCTTTTCGCTTCCAGTTAACCTTAACTTTGGTGCATGTTGCCGAGGGATGTTAGGACTTGAGCTTTTTGCCAACTCACGGGTTTTCCGTATTAAACCACTAATTGCTAAGCAACGGGTTTTCCGTATTAAACCACCAAAAGTTCAACTTTTAGCAGGGGAGCAGATTTCGCAACCGAGTTAAGTCGGTGGATGCTGATGGACAACAACTTCGCACCAGCAAGGGATGAAACCCGATCAGTTCTGGATGATACATGTCTCAAAGCAGATGCCTGGAGCGGAATTTGCCCGTCCACAGTGTCACCGGTTGAATATCGTTGGTTTTGGCTAGTACCAATTGTTTGGGTTTGTTTGAAAGGAAACCAAAAGGAAGCCGTGGGCCATTTTCTGGAGGTTTCCCAATGAGGATGAGGCAGACCCATTTCACCCCCAACACGCCACATGGCCACAGGTCAAAATCCGTGCCCCCAGTGAACATCCCAATCCAACCAGTGAAATAGGTCCTAAAATGGGTGGTGAATTCACCACCCAAAATGGGATCAACCAAAACGGCTTTGACAGCCACGTCTGCGACCCGAGCCGCGCGCCTGGCTCGGGGAGCCGAGCCGAGCGCCAGGCGCACGACTCCATGCGCCTGCCCTGGGAAGATGCCTCTGGCCGGCGCCAGCGGATGCCTCGGAGCGTGTGACTGGCCGGGGGGGGGGGGTTGTTCGGGGCCTGGAGCCAGGTCTAACGTTTTTGGGACCAAAAGAGGCAGAAAAAAAGGAGGGTTTCTGGAAGGTCCAACTCTTTTTGTTTTTTGGGACCTCCAAAAGCGGCAAGTGGAAAGCCGCCAAATGGATCAACTGTTGACGTGTGGGAATCCAGTGACAATTTGGGACCGCCATGCACCAAGCTCCGGACATCATGGTTCATTCTCCACGCCTTCCCGCCTGAACAGCATCGCCAAGTGAGTTCACAAGACTTAGGAGCCCTCCTTTGTGTACCTTCGGGTGCTGTGTGGATGAACAAGATCTAGTACTTTCCTAGAGCTTCATCCATCCCAACCAGGTGAAACCCTAGGAACTTCCCGCCTTTTTGCCTGGCGTGGATTTCCATCTGCTTTCGCCGGCGGCTGAGGTGGTCTGCCATGAAGGCATCCCTGCGGCAGCCCATGCGGCTGGTGAACGGCAAGAAGTGCCGGCGTGAGAAATGCGCGGCTGGCCCGGGCTGCGCCCTCTTGGCATAGGTGGATGGGTCTTTTGGAACTCCAAAAGGCAAACACTTGCGCGAAGTTCCAGCGTTTGGCCTTTTGGAAGCTGAAAGGAAATCAACCATTTGCGAGCGGGGTCCCATTTGGGCTCCGTTGCAGAGGAGGAGATGTGGGGAGCCCAGACATCGTAGTCGTCCCGCAGACCAACCGCACCAAAGCTCTCGAGTTAGGGGCTTCCTGCATGGACACTTGGGGTGCATTTGCAACCACCTTCTTTTAGGGTATTGTTTTGTTTAGGGTCCTGGACTGCAAAGTCAACCCGTGTCCGCACGGCTTACCCCCGCCTTTAAAGAGGGACACTTGGGAACACGATCCGACAGCCAGATGGAAAGTAAGCAGATCGGATCAAACCGGCCAGGAAGGCATGGTGGCTTTTTTCCCTTGGATACTTGCAAAGCGTGTTGGGAAAAGTGATCGTTTCAGACCACTCACAAGGAGGAAGTGTTGCGGGTTGGTCAGTCTGACCAGCCCAATAATGTCCTTTTAGTCACCTAAGTTCTTTCCAGATTCCTTAGTTGCGTTTTGATAGTTTGGGGAATGCGAAAGGTTCTATCCTACTTCATGCAAAAGATTGTTCAAGAGATGTGTTCCATGGGTACTCTTCCGAAGACCTGATGCACGGAACCTCTTTGAACGCCTAAGTCTTTCCTCTTGAAAACGCGGTCCTGTTTCAGTTCTATGATTCTTGCGTGAAGCACCATTAGATTGCAATTCCTGTCGCTTCTGCATCAGGTGAGAGGTGACGCCTTCAAACAGCATTGATACCATGACGGTGCTTGGCTGCCCTTCTTGACCAACTTAGCTTAAGCTTTATTTGTTTGGTTAGAAATGCGTGTGTTCCTTCTCACAGTTGATATAAAATAATTTTCACATCATCACTAGCACTAGCATCATCAGTTTGACCAGCAAAGCCCAGGCGGTCAGCAAGTTTCACAAGCGTTGTGAGGTTAGATCGAAATCATCGACAGTTGTTGCCCAATTGGACGACATCGCTTCTCCCATGTCCGGCACGCGAATCACATGTTGTGACCATGGCTTTTGTGTCGCAGCTGTCAGAACACAGTGTGCAACAACATCCACGATGCAGGGCTTCCAGCAGAGAGTGCCATGCGATTGAAACGAGTTCAATTGCAGGGATAACATATATATATATATATATGTTGATAATACACGTGCATACGTATATATTGCATTTGTGTGTAGATGGAGAGATGAGGCAGATAGATAGATTATATGACATGAAATCAGACTAGAGTAGGTTATATGAGCACATAAGATAATGTCATAGATGGGGTGTGGAATAAGTGAGCTATCAAAGGCAACAAAACAAACGTCAAAACAAATAAGTTACCATGACATACAGAACTATGCATATGTATAAATGAATACATATATATATATACACGTATGTGCAGGTGTTTATTGGTTTCTTCGCTTAAATAAAGAACACGGAACTCGGAGCAGTCTGTTGGCAGACTTGCCGGGAGAGAACCGGATAAACCTACAGCAGTTAGGCTGAACACGCTTGTCTGTTCGCCATGTCTTGGTGGGCACAACAGCCAGAGCCGTCACAGGCAGGAAAAGTCGACTCGAGCATTCACTCTGCATTTGCTTGCCGGGCCAAAAACTTTTCCGGGGACACTGTGAAGACGACTTCAAACAGGGTCCAAAAAGGTTGAGCTGTTTCTGCTTTGTTGGATTCGGAGGATGCCCTGAGTAACATTGTATCAGCAGAGACATTCGAACCCGTATCCCTGGCACCCGAAAAAGGTTCTAAGAACCTTTGCGGAAAGGGTGGAGGGTGGGCTTTGCTTTTGGCCGGTGCTTTGTCCAAGTTGAAGCTTTCCGCTCCCCCCCCGCAAAAACGAAAAGAAGAAGGAAAACAAAACAGCAAACAAACAGTGGTTCCCTCTTGGTTTCCTTTGACAGAAACCCATCTAAATACAACGTGTGTTTTTTGTGGTTGCCCCTTTGCTAGCCGGTGGTTGGAAGGGAGCCGTTAGGGAGCTGGGGGTATCCAAAGATTTCCTTTTAAAGAGGGAGCCTTTGGGAGCAACCAATCGTGTAAGCACATGGAAGCCAATTTCGGCACCCGATGTCAGTTTGCAGTACATGGGAACCTGTATGCACATGGTCATGTTCACCCCATATTAATCAACCCTCTCTTTATTAATAGGGGGTGCCCCTGGTTTTAGTGGAGTTGCCTGGTTGCTGTTGGTTTCCCTTTACAGCAGCCCACCAAAAAACAAACATGTCTAGGTCCCCCAGCAGTGCCCTTTTACCCTTCTTCGTGGGAGGATTCCCCTACTAAAATAGACTACAGAAAAAAGGGTACCCTCTTATTCTAACCTCTCAAATCTGGAGGACCTTGATGTTGTTTGTGTGGCTTCTCCTTGGCTTCCCCAAACCAAGACCAAAACCAAAAACCAAAACCAAACCAACCGACCCCAAACCAACCGACCCCAAACCAACCGACCCCAAACCAACCGACCCCAAACCAACCGACCCCAAACCAACCGACCCCAAACCAACCGACCCGTCCAACCAAAAAAAATCAACCGACCCCGAAACCAAGCGACTCCGCGGCTTTTGACGGGACGCAGGTCCTAGAGGCGCTGCACTCCACGTGAGGTCCTCGGCCTGTGCGCTTCGGATCGTCGGCTGTGAACCCCAAAGCGAATCGGCCTGTGAGCTTCGGGTGGTCCCTTCTTGGTGTCCATTTTTAGTAGAGGTGCCACAAAGTTTTAGCCCTTGGACCTTTTTGTTTGTTTTGTTTCCACTTTTTGGTTTCTTTTTTAGTAGAAGGTGCCAAAAGGTGATCGCCTGTTGCTTCCAGGGCCCTTTGGGCAAGGGAAAATTTGATCCACCTGGCGGATTTGGGTAGGGTTTTGTTTACTGTTCTTGAAGGGAGCTTTGTTTTTTGGCAGCTGGCGGAGTTTGTTGTCTTTCTTTTCTGTTTTCCCCAACAGCTGAAAGCTTTGGGGTCTCAGCCCAGATAGGCTCCGGGGTGGTCTGGGGCGGCCCTGAGGTAAGGTTCCACGAGGGTTCCACCAAGGTTCCACGAGGTTCTACGAGGGCTGCGGGGTGGTGCGAGCACTAAGAAGAGCACGCTGTTGGGGATGTCACCTGAGGTTATTTTTTTGGGGTGGGGCCTCCCTAAAGTGAAGGGTTGCCAAACTCTGTCAATTAATTCAACATCATGTCAGTTAACAGTTCAGAATGCGGGCGGGGGGGGGCTACTCACCAAAATCAATATTGAGAGACCAAAAGGAAGCCCCTGGTCTTTAGGGTCCATGCCCATTTGAACCGCCGACTTTTACTTCCATTTGCTGAAATGAATATGTATTATGTTCCTTTGTGGGTTTCTAAGGGAATCTACTGTATCACTACTGGAAACAGTTTGAATGTTTTCCAGGAGACTTAAGCAAATGGAAGTTTCGGGTCTTCAGCCCCTATTCTGCCATCCCATATCTTCGCGAGCATCAAGGCAAGGGCAGCTGAGCTTGCTCTCCAAGCGCCTCTCTTCCCTGCGGGATGAGCATGAGGCGATGCAACAACTCACCGCGATTCGGCGAAACCCAGAGCTCCACTTGGCATTTCCATTGGACAGCCCTTAAGTATCTCTCTACAAGACAATGGCGACCGCTGAAAAAGTCGGGAGGTGGTCACTGGTTGGTTCCCACATCGCATACCTGGAAACCTGCGGGGGCCCCGAGCAATCCAAGGTCACCAGGAGGCTTTTCAGACCTCTGACCAAAGTGCTCGTTGATTCGTAGAGGGCACTGCAAGCAAGTCCCATGTTTGAAACCGGATGGCTTTTTGACGTTGGCGCTTATGCGCCTCGTGGCATGCGAAACCCTGCGAGCCTTGAAGAAGCTGAGCAACCCGAAAAGGGATGGCAACTAAAGCCGGGAAAGCCCACCACCTTTGGTGGCACAAAAGGATCCATGATCTGCATCAACTGGGGAAAACAGTATCCCCTAGTACCGCCAATATGATATAAGGCGGTGACTTTTGAACAGGGAATCCCATATCCCCTCCAAATGAAAATTCCCCCCCCCCGACCCACACTACGAAATCTGTTCGCACCACCTAAGACACCGTGCTTGAAACCGGAAGGTTTGTTGGTTTTTTACCAGGGAATCACATCAGACAGCCAGGGGTTCTGAACGGTGAAATCGATTTTTGGATTTTGCAACCATTCACACCCCACCCCAAACCCCCCACACCAACCCCCACCCCCCCACACCAACCCCCACCCCCGCCCCACCCCACCCAAACCCCGCCAGCACTGGACAGGGATGCCCCTCCTGGCCCAGTGCCAGGCCCTCTGTGAGTGCCTTGCCGCCCATGGCGCGGTGCCTGCCGAGAGGCGTGCGTGAGGATATGGGTGTATCTTTTTTAGGGGACCCCCAACATGGTGCCAAACAAGGGGTGCTTTGAAAAAAGCAGACCCATATATGTGTATTCATGGGTGTATTCATTGGTGTATTCATTGGTTTATTCATTAATTCATTCGTTTGTCCGTTCATTCATTCATTCATTTCATTTCATTTCATTTCATTTTATTTCATGTCATTTCATGTCATTTCATTCCGATTCATTCCCATTTCATGTCATGTCATGTCATGTCATGTCATGTCATGTCATGTCATGTCATGTCATGTCATGTCATTTCATTCAGTCATTCCATTCATTCAGTCAGTCAGTCATTCATTCATTCATTTCATGTCATTCCATTCCATTCCATTCCATTCCATTCCATTCCATTCCATTCCATTCATTCATTCATTCATTCATTCAGATTTGTTCCTTCTTGATTTCTGTATTTGGTCATTTGTTCATCGATGTTCGGTTCCCTTAGCGAAACAAAGCGGAGGATGGTTAAGCAATTTGCCGCGCACAACAGAACACTGCGGGAAAAGGTGGAACACAGACGAAACATGACGAAACATGCCAAAGCACGATACACCACAAAGCATGACAGGGAAAGATGCAGAGACCGAACAGAAAAAGTAGCTAACAACGTGTGAAACCGACAAGCCACAACCGGACCGCCGTCTATTAATCAACCCCTGTTTCTTCATATGGGGGTGTTCCTTTCCAATAGTGATGATCCCCTACTAAACCCAGAAATGGACACCCTGCTATGAATAGACTGGGGTGGATTCATAGACTGGGGTGGATGAATAGACTGGGGTGGATTCATAGAGGGGTCCACATTAACATGGCGAACCACGCCTCGAACCCTTTACCGGGCACTGGTCTGCGAGGCTCACGGCCTGGCTGCACCGCCGGCGCTTCGCCCAAGCCCGGCGCCGGCATCCCCTGACGCCGGGGAGCCCAGTCCCGGCTCCCGGGGAGCCCAGTCCCCTCCCCCGGAAAACTGGGAAGGGGGAGTGGGGACTTGCGAACCCTTGACCATTTCTGGGGGGGTTGATCCAGAAGAGATTCGATATGTCTCTGTTGAGTTCCATATGGGGGTTGATCAAAAGGTCCTTTGTGGGATGCGAGATTTCTCCGCTAGCCTTGGCCATTTGGGGGGGGGGGGAAGTTCAACTTTGAGGCAGGGGTTGATCCAAAGGTCCGATGACCATGGGATGACCAGTGGGGAAACCACCCAAAACGATCCGATGGTTCCTACTAAATTGGAAAAGTTACCCTTGGTCAATTGGGGGGCAAGATTATTGATCAACCCCCGTCTCGGTATTTTTGTTCCGCCAAAGGCGATCGTTTCAAGGGAAGCCGCCAGGGAAATCCAGTGACTCATGTGCATTTCCTTAGTCCCTGAGTTGGATGGACGTATTGGTTCAACATCTCGGGAAGTGATGTTTCCCAATTTAAACATCACCTTTTGGTCAATTTGGAGTTGGTTTCCTTGTGGTTGATGTTGAAAGGGGAAGTATAGGGTGCCTTGTGAGGTGTAGAAGCATCCCTAGCAGTAGGTAACCTATAGAGGGTTTGGATTGAAGATTTGAACCTATGATCCTTGTAGAGGGTAAGGCGGAAACCACCCCCTAACCTCCAAACCACAAATCCAACCCACCAAGTACGGGGAAGCTGTAACCCAGCAGCAACTTGTACAGGTTTGCCGGAGATAGGGCAAATGGCCATCCTCAGAAACACCATGCAGAAGGCTGCTTTGACCAGTATTGAGCAGCGCCCAAACCGGCCAGTTTCGTAGGTGGCTCTAGCAGGTGTTTAGTTGGTCATAAGCGTCTTGCTCCAAACGGGTGAATGCTGCACAGGACATGGGAACAAGGTGAGGCCCTTTTCGCCTCCATCTGAGTTTAGGAAACCCCAGGAATTTTAGGAGATGGGTCCATGGCCGAACTTAGGAACTCCAAGCAGGGTGAGTTTAGACCGCTTGTCAAGACTTGGTTCCAAATGATCAGGGAACAGCGTGGTTTCCGTGACGGACATGGGAAAATGAAGTAGCACCACTGGTTGTTATTGGACATGTATTGATTCCCTGCATAGTTCTGACCAAACCTAAAATGGGGAGCCCCCAAGTAGGGGTTCGGCCTGGAGCGCGGAACCCCGCCTTTTCCCAGATCGGATCATGGCCCCGGTCAAGGCCATTTTGTAACAATGGTCCACGCCCTCACTATACTTGGACATAGAAGCCGCTTGCATCACGCCCAACATTTTTTTCCCCCAATTGAAGTTCATGGTTGGGCTTTGTCTCAACGTTCCGAGCCCTTGAAACGGGCGGTTGTCGTTTGGTTGGTGTCCCTGAACGGCCGGGCCACCAAAAGAACCCGCCCATAGCGGCGCCCATTTGAGAGCAAGCCACAAGGGGAAGGGTTGTTGTGTTTCTATTGGTTCATTTGCCGAGTATCTTCGCCCATATCCTTGTTTTCAGAAACCACCCAATCCCTGTGGGTGTTGTATTGGGAAGCACCCTCGTATTCACAAAATTATGTTGCTGGATGCTTTGAGGTTGCCAAGCAAGTTCCGCTTGCTTGCAGCTCACTGAAAGGGCAACTACTGGTCGCAACACGGAGATCTTTGGATGACTCTCGACGGCCAACACATCGCCTTGCCTGGGATTCTTTGTCCTGTGTGTTGCTCTTTGATCCAAGCTTTAGCTTTGGAATGTTTGGACAATGACGAAAGTTCCCCAGCAAGCAAGTAGTGATATTTCGTCAGGAGGTTCAAGACTAGCCTGGGCTTGCTTCCCCAAATGCTTCCCCAAATGCAATGACTCAAACAAAATAGATTTATTGCGGTATTGCAAACTCTTGCGACTCTCAGGTGTAATGAGACCTTGGAATCCTTGACACAGGCAAAGGCGCTCGCTCGCGGGCTCGTCAGGTCTGGGAGTTTCCGAACTCTTTCCCATGTAACTGCTGCGAATAGGCATCGTGCTCCGAAATTGGGGGATTCCATGTTAATCTGACAACTCACTCGTCGCAATTCACATGGCAACCTTTGGTTCCTTGGCCCTTGGCAGCTTGAGGTTGCAACTCCTAGGGAAGTTTCTCTTTGGTCCATGGAACCTATTTATTGGGATTTGTTGGGAATCCATTGAGAAGTGCCAGTTTGACATCTTCTCCTGAAATCTGAGAACTTGGAACTGATGCGAAGCCAATGCTGTCTGATGTTCTGCATGCTAGGGCCAACGTGAAGCAGCTGCGAGAGCCACCTGTCCAAACTGTTAGCAGATTGGGCGAATAAACGAAATGGTCGCAAACTACTCAACTTGGGAGCTACGAGCCTTTGGCGGAGGCCTAGTTGGGCCATTCCTAGGGAGCGCCTGGTGTCTAAGGCTGCCTTTACTTGGGAGCTATACAACCATTTCGGAAGCGCTCGGCCTCTGTCGACGCGCTGTCCAAAAGATCAAGCGATTGTTTAAGTCGTTTTTGCTAGCTCAGCTTTCAAACATCACATCATTAAAAGGGCACTCAAAATGAAGGAATGGCGGTCAAAGAGGGTGATGGTGAATTCGGGATACAAGGACCCTTGCGGCCTCATTGTTTGACCATCGGCAAAGGGCTAGAAGCAAAGGGCGCAGTTTAGGGGCCAGTGCCTTCCAGTTGCCAAGAACCAACACCAAATGGATTCCCAGCCAAGATTTGGACAATCCCAATAAATCCAATAAATCCAATACATATATATATATATCTTTTACAGGTGAAATGTTCGAGAGCGAGCAGCACCAGACCACCAGAGCTTGGCTTCGCCAGGAGCTGGCGCTGTCCTTGGCGGTGCGATTGGGCCTGGACGGGGTGACCACTTTGAGCCCGGAGACCTCAGGGGGGCGGAGGGGGTGCGGCCCGGTGGCGGGGTGGGGGGGGGGGGGCGGACTCACCAAGATCCATATGAAGATTGAGAGGCCAAAAGTGGAAGCGCCTGGTGTTTTTTTGGGTTGCCATATGTAAGCCGCGAAAACGGGGTGGCTTCCGTTTGCTGAACATATGTTTGATTTTCTTTTGTTGGTTTTTTGAAGGGAAGCTATATCACTACTGGAAGTATTTGTGTGTGTGTGTTTTCCCAAGGGGGCTTAAGCAAATGGAAGTGTCATGCTGGCGGATTTTTCATCAACCCGTCCGGGTGTTCCCCTAAAAGGGGCACTCCCCTGTTGATCAAGGGGGTTCATTCATTGAGAAGTGCCATTGGGTAGCCAGGTAGAAGCGGGGTAGCAATCATGAGAAGACCAAAGAGTACTTCAAGCTTCGGATCTGCCACGGCTCATCCCCTCGTCTCGCTCAGCCACAAAGCTTCAACTGGGGCTTCTGTGCAGACCACGCTTGTGCAAATCCAACCAGAACTAGGCGAAAGCATGGTATTTTGAAAGCGTCGATCCCAGAACTTGAAATTTGCCATGTCCAAGTTTGTTTCTGGAAATGGTGGACCCATTCTGGTTGGTGCTTCAAGGCAAGCAAAGAGGAAGCCAACAATTTTCCCGGACCCCTATTTTGAGCAACAAATGACGCCCGCAATTCCTTGCGCCAGGCAGTGCGTCGCGGGCTTTGCACAGCTCCCTCTCGGCACTTCGACCAGAGCTGGCCCAGCTGGCGCAGTTCGCTTTGCAGCGCCACGTGGGTTTCCGAGATTTGGGGGGTGTTGTTTGCAGAGTAGGAAGCCGCTTGTTCTGTGGGGTCCCTCAAAAAAGCCAACCCCACTTCACTTTTGGTGGTAGACATCGCCTTTTTGTTGGGTGGGGGGGGGCGATTCGAAGTGTTTCCTGGGTGATGTCTACAGGGAAAAAGGGCAAGCCCCGCTCGAGTTGAGCTGCAATCAAAACCGCTTCGGGTAGATGAAGGTTGGTAGGGGATCGCTTTCCTGGTTTTGTAGTAGACTCTTTTTGCTTTGCCAATCCGCTCAGGAAATGATAGGGACAATCCCAACCATGAATCGGTGCAACCGCCCTTGTATTTCTTTACAATTGTTTTTTGGGTAGACCCCTTCAACACCAGATGTTGATTCTGACTCAGGTTACTGTTTGCTGTTGTGCAAGCCGATCACAAGTCATTTGGCCGAGTTGTATCTCAGATCAGCGTATGGGTTTGTCTCTAATGGGGGAACCTGTTGTTTTTTTGCGAGTTGTGTGTGGAGGGCACCTGGCGCCTCGTGTGAGAACCCTCCCACCCTCTAACGTGGAACTTCACAGGGAGGTTCAAGTTGCCTGCAAAAAGTGGCGTGTGTTTTGATTGTAAGTCCTTGGTCTCAGGTTGGTTTGGATTGGTGGCTTAGGGATCCTTCTTGCAAGGTTCCCTCCCCCTCCACCACTCCAAACCAAGGGCTCAGCCAGGCCAAACTTTTCCCCTTGCAGCTCTTTGCCATCGGCGGCGAGGCTGGATTAAAAAAAATGTGTCAAACCGACAGTGGTTTGTTTTTGTTGTTTGTTTGTTTGTTTGTTTGTTTTTTTGGGGGGGGGCATGGGTGTGCGTTGTTTTGAGGCGGTGCCCTTCAAAACGACAGTGTTGGAGATCTTCTTCTATTCTGACACCAAGTATTGTTGCAGGGCTCAGTTGATCCGTAGATGCCCTGGCGCGTCAGCGATATCTTGGAGTGGGAATCCACGTTGTGGCCGCTTCAACAAGGAAGGGATTGGACAAGCTTCCCTCTTTGGAAGCCCGCCATGTCCGGTTTCCCCTCCAAAACTCTGTGTTTCAGGGGCTAAACACTCCTCTGCTCTTGGGTCGGATCTTTAGACTTTGACTTTTTGGATTCCCCTCATATTTCCTTCCAACCAAAAGGTTGCGCGTTTGGGGGATTTCTACACCCAAGTAAATATGACACCGAATCTCTGCATATCGCGACCCGAGCCACCGAGAAACTCGCCTGGCCCACTGGCCGGCGACCCGCGAGGCCTGCGGAGATCCGCTGATCTCTGTGCCCGACACGAGTTGAGTCGCGAAGCGTGGCTTCGTGTAAGGTCCAAGAGGGAGGATTTGTGCAAAAAACCCTCCGGTTCTATAACAGCCATATCAGCCCACTTTGTTGTTGTTTGGGGGAGACCCTTTTGGGGTGGGCTTTAAAGAGACATGTTGAGCCCCGCTTGGCGTTTCCCCAATTCGACCTTCGAGCAACAAAAAAGCACTTGGGTGTTTTAGATCAGCCCTTTGGGATGTTCTCGATCAAAATTGGCCTGCTTGCCTTCGCTCGCCAGGTGGAGCGTTTCAACGTGACGGCCAACGCCTGGAGTCCCTGCACGCCTTTGCGCACCCCAAGGCGCGTCCAGGGGGCGCTGCTGCCTTTTTTGTGGGGGAAAACGTCGTGGACGATTCGGAAACGCTTTCCGGGCTCCGTGATGGTGAGCAGGCAATATGCCATTTAAGGTCAGGGAACGGTTAGTAACTCCCCCCCCCGAAACATGTCAGGGAACGATTAGGAACCCCCCTCCCCACCCAAGAGGTAAGCATTAATCATTTCACAGGTAGTTTGAGACAACAAGGCCCATTTTTCCGAGTTTCCCTCGCCTCCCATTGTTTGAGCTCGAGGAGAATCATTTCACAGGTAGTTTGAGACACATCCATTTGCTTAAGAACATGCTAACACCCCTTGTTGGTGTTTGAAGGGAATTCATCAAAACATGTTTATATATATATATATTGTTTCCCTTGTTGGTTTTTGAAGGGAATTCATCACTGGAAATATTGTCTCATTTTTTCCTTGGGCCAAAAAACCAAATGGGTTCATACCCAAATACAGATAGACGAGTTTTGGAGGAATGGTTGATTTGTGGTCGCCATTCATACCCAAATACAAGGGCAGGCCCTGCCAAAGATATATCACTCCGGGCCATTCGCAGGAGTGGATGCGCCGCGGTGGCCCTCTCCGGGCATGTCTATGCCGTGGGCGGCTGTGGCAGCTCGAAGAAAGTTGGACGGCGCGCAGTACGGGTATGTGTTTGTTTTTGTGTTAGGGGGTTACCCTTTGCATACAGGGTATGTCCACCATTTCTTAGTTGTTTTTCGGTTTTTTGGAGATTATCCGTTTTGGGGTTGATTCAAAGAGCAACCAAACGCACAGACCATCCCTTTAGTGGGTTCCCCTTGTAGAGACTGACAAACCCATACAGCCGCTGTCTGGCCACTATACCTAAGGGTATGCAGCAGATCCCCTGTTTCCCCGAAATTGTCGTTTGGAGCTAGTGGAAACCATCTTAGCGTCAAGTATTTCCACCCCCAAACTACCCGAAGGAAAACGGGCGCTCAACCGTAGTTGCTCTGTGAATCTACTAAGCATACCTAAACATGGAATCAATCCCAAAACAGGTTCTCTTTTTCTTCCAGGGTCACCACTCGGCAACTGGGCAGCCAAGACTTTTGGGGAACATGAGAGGTTGTTGACGGGGGGGACAGGCAGAGTCGAGGGTATGTACCTTTTGCCTGGCTGTATCCCCCCATTTTCCCTCAGCCTGGTGATTAGGGGCTAGCGGGTATCCTTTTGGCTGCAATCTGGCAGCCTCACCTACCAGACGAAAATCAGTTTGCCAGCCTTTCCGGAATCTGAACATGACATTTATTCAACTTGTGGACACGAGCCAAGAGCGCGCTCATCTTTCATCATGCCATCATGCCTTGCATATTGCACCCAATCCTTTGCGGTACTTTGTTTAAGAAGTAACAAGGGGCTTCATAACTTCTATCATATCTGAATTTGCTTTTGAAGTACCCCGATTCATTCGACATGATTTAGACCCTTATATTACACAACTGATGCCCAGATCTTTGTTGCTTCCTCCAGGTGTTGACGGAGAAGATCTGCGCTCGGTGGAGAGGCTCGGGGTGCCCTGACATCCAGTAGCCCACCGAGTGAAGTGGTTGACTTGTCAAAGTGGCATGCAGCCATGCTGGTGGTCTACTTCCGGGCTCTCTTTTTTAGGGAAGTTGTCCATCAGGCGATTTCCTAGCGACCCCCTTCTTTGGCCAATGACCGTTGCAGGAAAAGGCAGCCTCTTTCTCGGTGGGTTTGCCCGTCGAAACAAAAAGGGAAGAAGGGTCCTGAACAACTAGGACTCAAACATCGCATAGGACGTGCATTCGAATGGTTTTTGGTGGCGTCTGACTTGCACACAGGTTGAACCTCTGGGACGCCGTTTGGGAGGACTTGGCGTGCCTGATTCCAGAGTCTTGTAGGGCTGATGACCCGGTGGCCGGTTTATACCCGCCAAGTAACATGGAACCGTTCGACGTTCGTGGGGTCCTGGTTTGGACCATTCTCCTTTAAAGGGACCCCCTGTCAGGCGTGTCAGGTTCCGTGTTAACTTGGTGGGAGGGTAAGTGGATAGAGGCGCTCACTCCCTTCGAAACGTCGGTTGAAGACCAAAAGCGGCTGGCGCGATTTTATGCTCGTGGCGCTTGCCCACTTGCCAACACAATGCTGCCATGTTGAATGTGCACAATCATTCTTCCAATGGCGTTCGCCTTCCAAAAGAAATTGATGCAAGTGTTGCGAGATCGACTTCAGAAGAGTTGGTATCGGCTTTGCAGGGTACGTGGCTCTTGTTTGGTGGGTCGTTCCCACGTTGCCCCAGCTGCAGTTAGCCTCAGGCTGATAGGTTATTCCCATTTCCGCATCAACCTATTCACCCTATAGGTACATAGGCCTTGCCAAGCAAACAGGGGGTTGCCATTGGTTGGCCAACAATTTTCAAACTTTGGTGTGACCGAATCGGCCCTTAGACCTGTTTGAAGCAAATGTGTTTTTCCATACAACCGTCTAATTGCCTTTTTCTCAGGGGCGTTTTTTTGCACCCCAGCCAAATCAACCATCCCAAAAGTAGTTGCCTAAAGGGGATCCCCCCCCCCCGACAAGGAAAAACGCATCCTTCAACAACCACCCCCCCATCCTCCCCCCGCCACAAAAACACACCCACTTCCTCTTAAAAAAATCACCCAAAACCCACCAACCACCGCCCCAATCCCCCCCTCCCCCCAAAAACAAGAAGGAAACAACAATCACAACGCCTGGCTTGTTCCCCCACCCCTCCCCCCCCCCAAAAAAAAAAAGAAGAGGAACAACACGGCGCCTGGCCAGGCGCCACCTACTGCACCACTTCGTGGCTTCCCGGGGGGTGTCCTCTTCAGGAGATGCCGGCCATGTCCACGGGCCGGGACGAGCTGGCGGCGGCGGGCTGCAGCGGCTGCGTCTACGCCATGGGCGGGAGCCACCTCGTGTGGCCGGCCCGGCGCCACGGGGTGTTCAGCGCCGGCCGGCCAGGGCCGGCAAGAAGGGCCAGCGGCCGGCGCCTCCTGGCGGATTCCGATGTCCATTTCTGGTTGGAACCTGCCAAAGTGGGAATTTCAATAGGTGCCAAGGGCCGGCGCGCACAAAGTGGGATTTTCAAGGAACACCAGATTGATGAACTTCAGGGGAACTCCAGGCTGTCTTCCTTTGAGGGCGCCAAAAAGAACTCCCTTTTTTGGGGAAACCAAAAAGAACCGCTGTACCGTGTTTGGGGGTCCAAAGAACAATGAGAGAGAGACACCCCCCCATGTCCTCGTCGAAAGAACAAGCTTCCGTCCCATGTCTTCCCTTGGGATCGGGGAGGGGGGTTCCTGGGGCCCGATTGGGGATTCAGAACTTGACTGGTTCAAACAAACCATCTGGAAGCACAATCACCCGTGTACGGGAAAAAGCAACGCGCATTGTGAAGGACATGAAGAGCCGGAAGGCCGCATCAACACACCTGCTCAGCCAAATGTCCAAAGTCCTCTTGTGGAAAGTGGTATTTTTGTTCGGGGCTTATGTAGCTTTCCACGAACCCTTCACAGTAACTTAGCTTCCAGTTGGTCAATTATTGTGATTTGCCCAGACTTGTTGCTTTTTGGAAGATGCTCAATCAATGCTGACGTTTGCTCCGGTTGGAGCAACTGAAGAGTCAGGCTTCGGAGAATGTTTCCGAGCCGAAACAATCGCCAGTCAGACTCGTAGCAAAAAAGGGGAGCGCTGATAAAATATTGCACCCTACTTGGCGGACTCCTGAGGCGGTACAAGAATCGCATCCAGGAAAAATGGTCCCTTCTGTTGTCCACTCTCTTGGGAATGTCAAAGTAGTGGGACCCCAAAAATGAGGGGGGTCCCTTTGCTTGTGCCCCAACCAGCTTGAAAGGGCTTGCTCCGCCAAGAACGAGACACCCATTTGGGTATGGGTCAAAATGGATCCACCAGGAATCGGACCGCAGGTTTTAGTCCTTGTTTCCATTTACCAGGGTTCCACTCCCGTTCTCATGTGGCCATGGGTCAAAATCCAAAATCCCGTACCCTCAGTGAACATTCACCAGGGCAACCCATTTTGGGGTTACCCGATTTTTGACCCACAGCCATTTGGCTGGAGGTCCGACATGTCTTGGACTCGACCGAGCGCTTCGACCCTGCGCGTGGCAGCTGGCAGGCGCAGACGCGGGCGGTTAGAACAGTCTCCTGTGCGTCTCTGAGCCATCCCTTGCTGGGGGGGAGGGTTCCTTTTAGGGGATTTCTAGATGCATTCTCAAAACCTTGGCGTTTCCCTGAGAAACAAGAGGAGATTGTCTAAAGATGATCGGTTTTAGGGGTTCCATGTCAATTTGCAAGGGAGCAGCGCTTGCCCTCTTTTGGTATTTTGTTGGTTTCCGATTTCCCTTGAACACCGTTCATATAAACCCCATTATTAGTTCCGACTTGTTTGCTTGCCGCAAGGGGGATTCACATTTGACATGGGTGTGCCGGTTTCGATAGCAAAGCCCTTTGGGATAAGAAACCTGCTCGCCAAATGCGGGGTTCAAGTTGGTTTCAGAAGATGGAGTACCGGGCTCCGTTTTTTTTTTTTTGACATTAGAAACACTCTTTTCAGTATTAAGAGCATGGTTTTTGGTATTAGCGCAGTGTGTTGCCGTCAAAGGATTTCCTCAGTGCGGCCCCCTTTAGGATGTCCTCAACGTAATGAAGCCCTTGCAGGGTTGATCACAATGTGGCTGTGGGTCAAAGCCAATGGTACCATTTTGGGCTAGGTGATATCACCACCCATTTTAGTCTATCAGAAAGGGACCCTGTGAGCGTTGGGTTTGTGCACACACCTAATTTTGCTGCATTCTGGCCAAAACCGAGGAAAAAAAGGATTCTGGGACAATGTGCTGGTATCATGCAAACAGTTCTCCACCTTACCCCCCCTTGCAGATGTCAGGCTCCTGTCCAAAACCGAAAAAACATCGATAAATCGAAAGATTCTGGGACAATGTGCTGGTATCATGCAAACAGTTCTCCACCTTACCCCCCTTGCAGATGTCAGGCTCCTGTCCCAAAACCGAAAAAACATCGAGAAATCGAAAGATTTTGTCCAAAACCAAAAAAAACCTCGAGAAATCGAAAAAAACAAAAAAAACCAAAGATTCTGGGACAATGTGCTGGTATCATGTAAACATTCTGTTGGCCAGATTGGTTTTTTTGGTTTTTTTCGATTTCTCGAGGTTTCTTTCGGTTTTGGACAAAATCTTTCGATTTCTCGATGTTTTTTTTGATTTTGGATGGTTTCTTTCGAATTCTCAATGTTTTTTTTTGATTTTGGACACCTTCTTTTGATTTCTCGATGTTTCTAAGGCTGCCTGCAGCAAAAGCTTCAACACAGGACAGCTTTGCAAGGAAGAGCTTAGAAGGTTTTCAAACACCAAACAACAAGAAAACCAAAGGTGTGGCCAGCCCGACAACACAGCTTCAGGTGACAGCAAGCCCGACAGAGTCCTTAGCTTCCAGCCAGCTTGCACCCAGCCCCAGCCCAGCTAGCTTAGAGAAGAAACAGTTCAGCGTAAAGAAGTTTTTTGGAACACCAGAGCAGCAAGCCAAGGAGATAGAGCCTGTGCTATCTAACAGGGTAGTTCCATACCAGAGGCAGCAGCAGAGCAAGCTGCAGAAAGAAGCTGCACTAGTGATGTCAGCTTACCTCCAGAAGCTAGCAGAGCTGGAGAAAGAAGACCCAGAAGAAGCTGTAACAGGCAGACAAGGTGGCAGGCCTCCAGTTCTGGAAGAGCGTAGAGGAACTGCAGGTGGGCAGTTAAGCAACAGGAAGAAGGAGACAGATCCTTCCAGGAAGCAAGAGCTTTTTGCCTTTCAGAAGATGAAGCTTAGTGAAGAGATTCAAATGATTCTGGAAGAGTCTCAGCCTCAGAAGCAGAAGCTTGGGCAGTTGCAAGGAGAAAGTTCAAGATGAGCACACAGAGGCTGGAAGATTGCAGAAGAGGTTTGCCAGAGCAGCTAGTGGAGGGAGAAAGAGAGAGTTTAGCAGAGAGATCTCTCAACTTGGCAAGTGGTTGCAGAAAGAAAGGAGTTATAGCCACAACGTTTCAAAGAATGAGCTGCTGAAAGAGTTCTTTGCCCTTCTGGTTGCAAGGGCAGAGAGATGCATGGTCAGGGCAGAGCTTTGCAGAAATGAGATGCAAAGGAAAGCTTGGCTGAAAGAAGCTGACTGTGCCCTACAGAGAAAGACCAAGCTCCAGCAGAGCTCAAAGTATGCAGCTTCTTATGTAGAGAAGCTGATCCAATGGCTAGGTGCAGCTTACTTGAGCAAAGATCAGACTACTCGCCTGGCACCAGTTGAAGAACAGGCGCGGGCCCAGCCTTCCAGGATATTGACAGAAAGCTCTGGCATCTAGGTGCTTGCTCCAGTTGCTGAGATTGAAGATGCACATTTGGTTGCAGATGCAGAGATGATAGTTAAGAAACGATCCTCACTGGTAATCGGCACGAGTGATCAAGTCCCACTTTGGGCCAAAGATCCAAGCAAGAAGTTGGTCTTCTCTGCAGATGAGCTCAAAGGTGCCAGTTGGGACGACAGAAAGAGGTGGACTGAGATCAGGTAGGAGCTGAAAGCTGCTTAAGTTCAGGCAGCTGAAGAAGGTTACCAGCTTGTCAGTTGGGCAGATGTAGGAGCAGGGCCTCTTCAAGTTGCAGGTAATAAGGTGATGACAGGACAAAGTTCAGATGAAAAGTTTCGTTTAACATACGAAGCTTGCCAGAAGATTTACATCCACGATCTCCTTGAGATCCTCGTAGGTCATGTCTTCTGCGGCAAGTGCCATCTTAGCCCAGAGTGGAGGGTGGGACGACTCAGTGCAGGATGCAGATGGATGAGATGCTTTCTAGCTGGCCAAAGTTGCAGCGCAGATCGCGGTCAGAGGATATATACACACACAACTGCACACAACTCCCCAATTCGGAAAAACACTCGTTTCACATGGAAAATACCCACGCTGAGGGGGTCCCCCTCTCCTATTTTAGTGGCTGGATTGGGATGTTCACTAGGTAATAACCGGGATGTTGACCCATGGCCATGTATTGAGACGAAGGAAGGCTCGTTTTCAGATCGATTGCACATGCTCCAGTGGTTGGCCAAACCCGGGTGGATAGGTACCCAACACATATTTCTGACCTGGTTGGTTTAAAGACTCGTGGAAAGGCCGTGTGGGCTCGGTTGTTTTTTCTTCTCAAAATTCGGGACGACTCCTCCAGGTGGTTGGCTTCCTTTATCAGAAACACCCCTCTACCCCCCTATCAACCATCCCCTGCATTTTCCTAAGGGAATCCCCTGGCTTCACTCGCAGGGAACCAAGCTGAGTTTAGGGGAACCTTTGCAATATCGCCGCAAAGTTCAAAGGTTCCCCTAGACCTTTGGTTCAGCAGTTGCTGAACCCTCCCCAGCATTTTCCTTGAAGAGGATCTCCATCATTCCCCATCGAACTAAGCTGAGCTTCGCAAAACCTTTTCAGTGCTTGTTGCTCTCCAAGCACCCCCTCGCCAGGCCGAGAAAAACGCCCCGCCCGCCGCCTCGCCCGCCTCGCCCGCGTGGCGCCTCAAGGCGCTCCCTCGTCTGAGCCGCGAGCGCTGCGCCGCCGCGGCGGTGGCCAACCGCCGACGGCTCTACGTGCTGGGCGGCTGCGACGAGGCTTCGGCGTAGGTCTGCGCGCGCTTTTCCCCGAGAAAAACCCGGAGTCCCCTGTCGGTTTTTAACGGGAAGCCCTTGTTTCTGGGTGCGTCCCAAAACGCCAACTGTTTGTATTTGACACAAACTTTTGGTATTCACGGGAAACCAAAAGGAAACCAAGCATTTTGGGGGGCCATGTTGAGAAAGACCGATCTCGGGCTGAGAGCTCCCCGAAATGGGTATCAATTTCTAGGGGTTGGATGTTGTGGAAGTGGGGATTTATGTCCACTCACCACTTTAGAGGGGGTTCATGATAATTTTGTAGCCCAATCGTTGTTTAAAGGGATTGTTTCAAGAGGGTTTTCATGTACCCAACTCTTGGCTTGGTTTTAAAGAGAGACCAAAAGCAGAAGGAAGCCAATTTTCGGTGTTCCCCAATGTTTAGACAATCCTAGGCCTTTTTCTGCACTGGGTTCATTGAAATGTTTAAGGAGCACCACCCCACAAAAGTAGTTTTGAGAACCCTTGAAAATGTTCACTTTGTCTCGCTTCCTCAGTTGCTAGATTTGGGTGTTCGTTGGTTTCAGGGTTTGCCTCAAATGTAAATGCGAGCACCTCTGGGTTGCCTACTGGCTAGCCTGGGTTCCTTATTCCTCAAAAAAGGCAACCCCCATGATTGCGCCGAGCTACGCACAGGCCTAGGAGAGCGTTCACTTAGAATGTGTTTTTTTTTCTCCTCCAAATCCATGTGATGAATCCATCATGATCCCAGTTGTCAGAGAAAAGGGCTCGAGCCTCTGGTTTTCTTGTCCTTCAGATTTCGGGTTTGCCAGACAGAAGTTGTTTCGTGCCAGGATGGCGTTGCCTTGTGCTCTGCGGAGTGCTTTGACCCTGAGCTCGGCCGTTGGGTGCGGGCCCCAACCGGGGCCTTCAGAGCACCTCCACCCACTACCCAGTTGCCCAGTGCTGCCCTGTTTCCTTTTTTGGGGAAGGGTTCTCCTTTTCAGTCAACTAACTAAGAAAGGATGCCCGTTTTTTCCCGTGGAAGTCCTCTGGGCATCGGAGTTAAGTCCTTGGCGAATGGCAAGGAGTCAGTCCCGCGGCCAGGAGCCAATTCCACCCATGCGCTGGCCCCGCTGCAACTTCGCGGGGGCACCGAGCGAAGGCCGAGTGGCAAAACCTTCAAAGGGCCACAGGTTCGACCCGGCTGTATGCGTCGTAGAAAGAAGCTGGGTGCAAGGGCAAGAGAGTTTCCACTACCCCGAATCACTAACCCCAAGTCAAAATAGATATATTGCCTTTCTATTGTGGCTATAAAGTAGCTGTATTCCGCCCATTTTTTCCTGGGGTAGAGGTTTGGGAGCGGTGAGAAAGCCTCTTTTACATCAGGCTCACCTCGATTTTTGCGCAGGATTTGTTGATCCTTCACAGCAGAGCCCGAATTACACCTGGAGTTGACTTTAGCGGGAGCACCCGGAATGGTTGGGTTTCCATTTGCTTTCTCTTGGTTACTTCCATTTGCTTCAGAACATGGTTGGTTTCCCTTGTTGGTTTTAAAGGCAATCTATCCCCATTTCTTTTTTTTCCCCAGCGGGCTTAAGCAAATGAAAGGAAACCCATGAAGCGAACTGACCCTGGAAGAAGATTGCGCTGAGGCTGCGTCTGCCTCCTGCGGCCGGATCGTCGTTGCTGGAGGCTACGACGCCAAAGCCTCGGAAACGGGCGCCGGCGGATGCGGGGGAGGGCCCTCCTTTCCTTTGGTGCATTTTGCTTCGAGGGATGTTAGGAGTTTAACTTGTTGCCAACTAATGGGTGTTCCATTAAACCACCAAAAGGTAAACTTTTAGCAGGGGAGCAGAAAGCAACCGAGTCTTTCCGGGGGTTTGGCAACGTTCACGACGTGTTTGTTGCCATGCATTCACATTGCATATGTTTGGCAGGATTAGTGTTTCAAGTCTGCCTTGTGCAAGTTCGGGAAAGCTTTGTGCTTTCATGCTTGATACCAGCGACCTCGGTGCAAGGCAACCGAACATGTTCCTTGCAAACATGCTACAAAAGTGTTTTTTTTGTATTCATGCTGTAAGCACACATGCTAGTACTGTCCATGTCTGCTTTCTCGGCAGGGCTTTCCGTTTGGCTAGGAGGACGTGCAATGAAGAAGGAGTTGACAAAGGGAGACCGAAAGACACGAAGAACAAAGAAAGATAGAAATAAAGGAAAGGGAGGGAGAGGGAGATAGCGGGAGACAGGGACAGCGAGAAGGCGGGAAGTGGGAGGGAAAGAGATGGGGAGGGAGGGAGGGAGGGAGGGAGGGAGGGAGGAGGGAGGGAGGGAGGAGGAGGGAGGGAGGGAGGGAGGAGGGAGAGGGAGGGAGGGAGGGAGGGAGGGAGGGAGGGAGGGAGGGAGGGAGGGAGGGAGGGAGGGAGGGAGGGAGGGGGAGGGAGGGAGGGAGGGAGGGAGGGAGGGAGGGAGGGAGGGAGGGAGGGAGGGAGGAGGGAGGGAGGGAGGGAGGGAGGGAGGGAGGGAGGGAGGGAGGGAGGGAGGGAGGGAGGGAGGGAGGGAGGGAGATGGAAAGCAAAGAAGAAAGCGGCAGCTTTGAGGGGCACGGCAGGTTCTCAAGCCAGTTGCTTGTCGCTGAGGACAATACGCGCGATGTGGATACAGTGGAACAGTACGACCCCAGCAAATCCATCGGGTGCGCGGCAGTCAGCAATTCGCGTTCTGTGCATGTGTGTCGTCAGGGGGATGGTGAGGACTGTTCTGATGTGGATGCGTTTTTTTCTTGAGTTCGTAGCTTTGCCAGTCGCGTTTTCGGGGTGAGAGGGTTGCCTACTCACCATCCCGGGCTGTGAATTGCTCTTCTTTATCAGGCAAGTGGAGTTTGGCTAGGTGTTGCTTCTGCTAGGCACGGCATTCCAATTCCCGGTACAGTGTTATGCTGGTCTCAATGCGCTGTGTTCTATGTGTGCACGCAGCTATAATTGTGCCGCCTACAGCCCTGGCTAGGTATGGGTGTGCGTGCTTTTTGAGGGTACCCTTTTTGAGGTTGGTTTCAAAGGAAATGAAAAGGACACCACCACTTTGCAGAAGAGCTGGTCTCGGAGTGAGATTGGGAGATGTTTTGGGGGATTGCCTTGTTAGGTGCCCACGCAAATCCCCGTATTGTGACACATAAAGTCACATACCGTCACATAAAGAGCTGGTCTCGAGATTGGGAGATGTTTTGGGGGATTGCCTTGTTAATGGGATGTTATTGGGATGTTATTGGGATTGCCGTGTTGGTCTTCCCCAACTCGAAGGGCCATTCTCCTCACCGCAGGTGGGAGACCTTGGCCTCGCTGCCGGTGCCCAGATGGGGTGTGCACCCTCAGCTCAAAGCCTCGGCTTGCCGACATCTCGCAGACTCTGACCCCAGGAAAAGAATGGGTAGTTTCGTTTGGGAGGTTGATGACAATGGGGTTAGAGCAATGGTTTGTTGATTGGAAAGAAGCGGGAACAAAACTGGTTGTTTGTTGATAGCCATGGCTTGCAGGACTGTTTTTGGTCTCTCACTCATGAAATACTGCGGATGGACGAAATCCATTTCGCACCACCTAAGAACACCTGGAATGGTGATTCCCCTGTTAATACCACCAACAAGCCATGGTTTCAACCACGGTTTCGAAGTGGTGCGAACGGAGTTCGTCCATCCACAGTATCACTCTCGCCTCCGATGACACGCCTCCGGGTTTGGGAAGGTGGTCGTTTTTGAACGCGTGTTTTGGCTCGTTTTTGAACGCGTGTTTTGGCTCGTTTTTGAACGCGGTTTTGCTCAAGTGTACGTGATTTACAGCAGCACGGCCATTTTTCCAAGCGTCCACGCACACCACGATGAGGCGCACGAACACGCGCCACGATGCACGTGTAGCACATGGATGGCGCCGTGCTTTTGGGAGACAATCGTCAACTGTAGACCCGGGAACACAAAGCACAAGGAACGCAAAGCGACATCATCATCATCATCATCATCATCAACATCATCAACATTGTCAACATAATCATCATCATCATCATCATCATCATCATCATCATCATCATCACCATCATCATTATCATCATCATCATCAACACCAACATCATCATCAACATTGTCATCATCACTACCAACAACATCACCATCATCAACATCAACACCAACATCATCATCACCATCATCACCATTATCAACTTCAACTTCGACATCACCATCATCATCGACATCATCAAAGTCATCGCCATCGACATCCTCATCGCCAACATCAATATCATCATCATCAGCATCATCATCAACATGATTATCAACATCGTCAACATATGTCAACATAATCATCATCATCATCATCGTCATCAACATCGTCAACATCATCATCATCATCATCATCATCATGAACATCATCATCATGAACATCATCATCATGATGACCATCATCATCAACATCGTCATCAACAACACCACCATCACCACCAGCGCGCAGTTGCACGGTCACGCAGTAAGAGGCGAACGTAACTGCCCGACCCCATCCCGCCCCCCCCCCCCCCAGCCCCAGGACGCAGTCGCACGGTCACGCAGCAAGACGCGAACGTAACTGCCCCACCCCAACCTCCCCCCCCAGCCCCAATACGCAGTTGCGTCGCCACGCAGTAAGCGGCGATCGCAATTCCAGGAGGCTCCGGTTCGCAAGTTACTTTGGCCGTATGAGCTAAGGATGTTTTTCTGTGTCGCGAGGACAAGATAACTCCGAGCTTGAAATTTCACGAGTTTTCACGGCTTTTTCACTGTGTAGTAACGGCCTTTCAGTTTCCCGCGCGAGGTATTACGGCCGTTAGGCCGAGTTTTCACGACTTTACGGGGGCCAACGAGCGCAAGTCGCCGAGGACATCTTAGCTTTAAAAAGTCCAAGGTAACTTGGGACTCGGAACCTCCTGGTTGCCCCCTTCCCCCAGCCCTAGGGCGCAGCCGCACGGTCACGCAGTAGGAGGCGAACGTAACTGCCCCACCCCGCCCCCACCCCCACCCCCAGGACGCAGTGGCACGGTCACGCAGTAAGAGGCGAACGCAACTGCCCCACCCCACCCCCCCCCCACCCTACGGGTGCCGCAGGATAGCCCATGTGTTCGAAAATGACCCATTCTGTGTTCGAAAATGATCCAGGACATTGGTGTTCGAAAATGATCCAAAATCGGTGTTCGAAAATGATCCCCCTCCCTCCGGGTTTCCGAGGTGTTCGTGCTGCCAGTAGAGAGGGCGCCATCTTCATCGTCGGAGGGCCGGTGCCTTAGGACCTGAAAAAGTCCCCAGTAGTGCCCTTCTCTCCCCTTTTAGGGGGAGGGTTCCCCTACCAAGATCAGGGAGGAAAAAGGGGAAGAAAAAAAAGTGCCCTTCTTCTAACCTCTCTACTGGAGGACCTGGAAACCAAAGGCCGCGCAATGTGTCGCAAGCTTCGGGTTCTGCTTGCTGGTACCACATCAGATAGGCGGCCAGAAGTTGCACCTGTCGCATGTCGCATGTGCACAGATGAGTGGTCCCTTTTGCAACCCCCGAAAAAGAGCCTCGAAGCAACTCTCCGCCAGGCACGTGTGGGATGTGGAGGTGGGCACCACTGACGGCCGGAAGCCGAAGCCATGGGATTCGGTCGTGGCTGAGACTCCAGAAGTCGCCGCCCCTTTTTGTTTAGTGTGTTTTTTCTTTTTGGGGGTCCCCTTTGTTTTCCACCAACCAGGCAAAAAAGATATTTTATTTGGCTGGGGTCCTGATTCCAGCCTAGTGCCGAAACTCCAATGCCGAGCCCCACCCATTCTTAATCGGAGGTGTCACCATGGAGAAGAGAGAAAGGAGACCGTTGGAGATCGGAGGGTTATTGTTCAGGGGTCCACAGTCGCCATGCAGTCCTTACCGCGTTCTTCGCTCAGGTTTACATCATGCGTCTGGAACTTGGGCACGTGCCCTAGCTTCAACAACCACTTGGAACCCGGTAACCTCGATCTCACTTCCTGAGTTGCACTTCAAACTTTTTGGGAGGACCATTTTGGTGCTACAAAAAAAGGTTCAGACTGGCCAGTCCACTCAGGAAGTGAGTGGTTGAAACGAAACGGAGCATGTTTGAGTAGCAGCGCCATGCTCAAACCAGGCGGTTGGCTCACCCTGCCTGCCGCTCCTTCCTGAGAGGTGACTTACGCCTGCATGAGCGAGCCACGGCGATCCTTCGGTTTGGCTGCTGTCAATGGCTAAGCCGAAGCGAATGTGTCATGCGAAAAACGAGCCGAAGGACGTGACCCAGGAAGAGTGGCATCAACCCTTTTTGCTTTGTTTGGCCGTTGGCAGGAAGAATGATGGAGCCACATCTCCTTCACATTTCAGTGATATTTGAGCCCCCAGAGCGTTTCCAAATTACTGCTTTGACAACCATCCCACGTACCACAGTGGAAAATGTCATTCTGGCATTTCTCAGCTTTTGTGGATCAAGTGTGCCTTCGCGAGATCTTCCACGTCTTGAAGTGTACCAAGTTGAGAGCAGTTTTAGATGAGGCCAAGCAACTGTTCCAAAGGTAGGTGCCTGGTTTTGGAGGTCGGTTTGCGACTTGAGCTCGCGTTTTGCGGGACACTTGATCAATGGCGGTGCCTACGATTGACCTGGCTTCGTTCCGAGTGGCGTTGCAAGCTTTGCCGGAAGAAAGGCAGGGCTCCGCTTCACAAGTCGAAAGGAGTTGGAATTGGAACTTAAGTTCTTTGCAAAACCATTTTTTTCATTAGAACTTCATGTGGTTTGCATGCGATCGCCGGCCGCGATTTGCCGCGATTTGCCGCGATTTGGTTTGGGCTGAGCATGAGATCAGTGGAGCTGTGTGACAGGCGACAAAGCACAACCATCCAGGACTTTTCTGAGGACCGGGATGTCATGAAATGCTGGTGCAGTGCGAGTCGTTTCGGATGTTTTTCACAGAAACCGCAGCTAGACTCCCGCATCAGATGAGGTGGGAGTGCTCCTTCTTTGAGGGACCCCCAAAATCGTTGGTGTCCTTTTAAGGTGTCCGTTCAAACCTTCAAAAAGCTTTGGGACCCTCAAAAAAATACAATTTTCCTGAATTTGCCCATGGTAACTCGGGTAAAGGGGTCGGACTCGACTCAGGAGGCTCAGAAGATTGCCCGGGACTGGCGCAAGGCTTTTGCCGAGTATGGCTTTTGCAATGCCGTCGGCCATGGAGTGCCTGATGACGTCATCGAGGATGCATACAGCGTCGCAAGGAGGCAAGCTGTTTGAGTTCATTTGTTCGAGCTGTTACCTTCTGGATCCGGTGTTAAACAAATGAGACTTCCGGGGAACACCTCTACCTTGGAACTTCTCACCTGAAGAAGAAGGCAATATTGTTTAACTAGAGGCCTTTTGGGCATTATGGGGAAGGAACCTTCCCTCTAAAAACTCATAGCAAATGGCTGCCGAGTGATCCACTTGGTCTTAGAGTCCAAGACATTGCAGGAAGCCCAGTTTTCTTGAGACAGGATTAAGTTTTTCAGATTAATCCGAACACTACCCCATTGCAATGAATGACGAAAGCGCGTGTTGTGCAGGTTCTTTTCGCTACCTTTGGACGAAAAGATGCGCTGCGACACTGGCAAGGAGTACGGAGTGGCTCGAGAGAATGTGGACGGGTCCAGCCGCAGGTTTTTTTGGGTTGCCCTTTGGTACAACCTTAAACCTTTGAGCCTGTACCAAGACTGACTCCTGGCCAACTATCAACGTGTTGAACTTTTTGGAGGGGGTCCACAACCAGCGTTGGCAAGTGATTGGCCTCGAAATGGTTGCTGCGCACGACGTCGATGGCTTCAAACTACTGGCAATGGGAAACACTGCCAGTGGAGTTTGTTGTTTGCAGGGACCCCATATACAAACGACCTCATGAGTCCCTCACACCAGATTGGGTAAATGTCGAAATAAGGGGCCCGTTTACCCCATTTTGGTGGGGTCTCCTTTCCCGTTCCCTTTGAGCCAACCCCCAAAACTACCCTCACAGCATCCGCAAGCCTTTGAATTGATCCGAAGGCATCCAGCGGCTTCAAAGGAGTCGGCGGTGAGCGAGTGAGCGCTACGGCGACCAGCCTTCCAGGGGCAGAGGCCGGGGTGAAGCGGCGGGTTGCGGCGAAGCCGTGGGTTGCGGCTGTGTAAAAATTGCTCGTGTGGGTGTTGGGAATGAACCAGGAGGAAAATTTCCCTTAAAGCAAATGATAGGTGGTTTATAGGGGTCATTCCCTCATTCCCTGCTGAGAACCCGCAAGTTGTTGTTGTTTGTTGCCTTAAGTATGTCAAGCTTAGTGTGTAATTACTGCAGTCGGGATCTCTCCTGTGCTATAGCCTATTGGTCAGATTTGTCACTTTTCTGATTTGCTGATCCACAAAACTAGTTGTTCATTGACTTCATTGCGGGTTTGGAATGTGGCTTAGCACGAATTACCTGAAGCGCTTGCCGCGTCATCTTCACCTTCATCAGCTTCATCATCATGCAGATACCAATTTCTGCATGTGATTGGCTCTAAACAACGATTGAAAGATATGATATTTAGTTTATGTTTGTTTGTTTGTTGCAGAGCATAGAATGCCGCGCACGGCCGTGAAATGTTCAGCGCGAAGAGCTTTGAAGCCTCAGGTGCTGGGAACGGAGAAAGCTCGACCGCCTGACAGCGTTGAATCCATGATATTCTTCGGACGAGAGGACGATGAAACTTGGCTGCAAGGCAGGAGGGTACAGTAAGAATCCGCACTGCCACCTCACGCGGTTGGACATGATGTCCACCAAAGGTCCCCTATCAATAATCGCTCCCGACCGGGCCCTGAACTCAGCCGGCAGTGCTGAGTCAGTTCCTGAAAACATCTGACATGTCGCCAAGGATTGTTCCAGACTCCAGAACAGCTTTCACCAGAATCGGCTTTGTGTTTGTGCGTGTGTGTTGTCAGTCAAGTTTATGTCGACGGGTCAGCAGCCTGGATTTGTACTGTCTTTGTTGTACTTGAAGCTGGACACACACTGACCACTAGAAGTCCCACAGCATGCTCACAAACCTCGAAACGCCCACGTATCATTCAGACAAAGTGAAGCGTGCGTCACGGGTGGCAAATTGCAAACCTCATGTAAGAAGAGAGCACCTGCGCATGGCGTTGCAAAGCTGGTGTAGTTTCGAAAGTATCTCCAATAGTTGATTGTTTTCTGAAGTAAGCGTGTTGGATGCTCAATCCTGGAGCTTAGGCCATTCTGTGATTGTGTAGAAAATGCTGCCTTTAGCATGCTGCTCCGTTGGTTGTTCCCATCCAATGTAAGCCAGCGCATTTTGTCAACACAGAAAAAATGAGGCGTGGCCTTGACAGTCAGGAACATGGGATTGAAACTTCATGAGTTCCTCTCCAAATGTGTTGTCCTTCCAAAGTGTGATAGTTGTACAGTATTGTGCACTGATTGAACAAAAAGAACACGTACTTGTCACAACGCAAGAGTATGCTGCCCAGTCAGTGCGATTACCGTTGGTCGTCAGCACGTTGCGTTGCCATCGTTTAACACTTCAACTTCAGGTATCTCCATGTCATGCTGCGACAAGACCTACACGCTCTCAGATTCTGTGTGTAAGTAGATTCTCTGGCTACAGCCGCTCAGCACGGCAATGCATAGCGCTTTTCATCAAATCTTGCTCCGAGCTTTGCGACAAGTAGTCAAAAGAAGGCGTACGAAGCTGTACGCACTAAAGCCGTCTGCGTGTTTCATTCAACGCCAGCGGCCGAGGTTATCCCGGATGTCGAAGGCTACAGGGAGACGATGCTGCGCTACCGGCAGGAGAGCATAGAGCTGGCCACTGTTAGTGACCATAAATGCCCATAGTTAAGCAGACACATTGAAACACTCAGTCCATGGGTTGCTAGTCTTCTCGGCTTCCACGAGTCCAAGGACCCTGTGCCCGGAATGCTGGACTTACTTCTGTGAGACCATTCGGAATGCGCAATCACCTGACATTTGGCCCGCGGAAGTGAGCCCTAGGAGTTGCGGCAACTGCTGCTGACGGTCATGGCGCTGACTGCAGCCTCGCTGGAGTTGCCCGTGGGCTACTTCGATGAGTTCTTTACAGAGGAGAAGCAGTGCCAGGCCATGGATATTTGAGGTGAAAATCAGGGGCCAGAGGTGCGGTTCAGAGGGATGACACGCGCACACGCACCCGCACACGCGCACGCACACGCACATCGTCACAAATCAGAACGACTCAGAGGAGTCTAGAACTCTGACAATGTGGATTGCGTCTTGGGAACAGGAGTTCTGATTGTACGTGTCCAGAAGCAAGCAGAAGTATTAATCCAGCTTACTTCTGGTTTGGGGCTCATGATGCAGACAAAATATCAGTGTCAGCGAAGTGAAGATGTTTTGCAACAGTCTCAAGAGCCGTCCTGATCGATCAACCGCGAACATTGTAGACATAATGGCCCTGATGTCTTGCACAAACGCAGCGACAACAAGAGCCCAAAAGAGGATCAATCCAACACGTGCCCAGTTCCGGGCAAATTGGGGGCAATGGCTGAGAATTGGCAAGCACTTTCTCCAAAAAAGGCATTCTTACTCCCCACAAGTAGCATCCACCGGAACCGAAAGACGGATCCACATAAAGGGTTTTTTGGGGGAGCCCTTGTCTTGGTGTGGTTTTACAGGGAGCAAAAGGACACCCACTGTTTCATGGGTTCTATGATGACACATCCTCCCAGAACGAGATGTCGATGCGCCTGGCCTACTACCCCGCCTGTGAGACTTCTCCTGGGCAGCTGCGATATGGAGAGCACACGGACTACACAGGCACCAAGCCGCGTTGCTTAAACTTGCGATCGGTGGAAGCCAAGGGGTGGAACCATGTTCGGTTATCCCTATTTTACTTGCGATTGGTGCGACAGATGCAGGGAATTAGACATGGAACGACCCCGAGAAAAACCATCCAACTGGTGGTTTCCTCTCTAAGGGGTCCAATTCATTCCATTTCTCAGTCCCTACTTATCGCACGAGCAAGTAAAATAGGGATACCCGAAAATGGCTGAAGCCCTTGGCTTCTCGAAAAAAATATCAACATGGGTCCACCATTTCGAGTCAAATCCCAAATCATTTTTTGGGCCACGGCCATGTCCGTGAGACGTCGGTTTTTCGGCAGCTCTCATTTGAACGATGACACCAAAATCATGATGAGGTGGAAAGTCAGAGTTTGAACCGCCAATCGAAGCAATTTCCTTGTATCTCATGCGCTTCGAACATGCATCAGAGCGAGGTTTTACGCTGCTGTGGCAAGATCACAATGTGGCTGGCCAGAGCCCTATCTTTCGTTTTTGTCGGTTCCTTGTTGTGCACCCGCGTTTGTTGTGTTTTCGCTCTTGGATACAGAGTGATGAAAGAGCTTAGTGCAAACCAAACCCTTGACCAGCTGGATCATGCTTTCATCTCGTTAAGCTGACCTTGTCGAAGCAGAGGCTTGATTCATGCCTGGCCTTGCAACGAAGTGTCGCCAATGCTTTGGCGCGTGGCATTCCTATCTGGGACGTCCAACTTTCCATGCTCCAAGCAGTTCTCCTGAGGCCCACAGACAGCAAAAGACGGGATCAAGCCGCCAAAGGGTGGCTTGCAGGCCGGAGATGAGTTTACTTGCGCTCTCAGATTCGTGTGCTTTCCAAATTGTAAGCACCATGAGTCAATGAGACACAGAGTAGGTATGATTGGCACCTATCAAAGCGAGTCGAAGAGATTTTGACTGTGACAGGTTCAAATGCCGGATGGCTCGTGGGCGGACTGCCCTCCCCCGTGCCTGGCCAGAAGTATTGACTTCCGACAACTCAGGAACGAAAGAGACGTCTTACAGTCGTTTGTTTCTTTGGACGACTGATTCAGATGTGGGTTTTTTGGCCCCCGGTCGCAGGTTTGCTGTGCAGGTATAGGGCGGGCTTGAGTTCAGATGAACAATTGCAACTGTGGAAGCTGGGCATGAATGCTGATGCCTTGACTGCGCTGAATCTCCATGCAACACAGATGTTCATCGCAGTAAGAAGCCTAAGAAGCCAAAACTCAGGCCTGGCGCTTTCACGATCAATGCAGGTGACCTGATTCAGGCAGGATTGGTGAACTCTGGCTTTGCGACCTCCAAATGACAGCTTGACATCTTTCAGTGATGAGTCAGAACACAGAATTTGTTGCACAACTGGCTTCTCTTGGCTGTTGCCAAGTTGCCTTACTCAGCGTGCGAGCCAGGCTTGGACCAATGACGAGTTCTTGTCCAACATGCATCGTGTAACCAACCCTCCGCCCGAGGCGAAACCCTCAGAGAGTGGCCTCAGCGATGTGGGCTCAACCTGCTCAGTGTTATTTTTGAGGCTTAGTAGACTTGTTTGATTGGTTCGAAGGGAGCCCAAAAGGGAAGCACATATATATTATAAGCATAAATTATATATATATATATTTATATATATATATAAGTGTGTTATATATATATATGTTTCCGGAGTCACCCTGTTTTGACACATACCCATTCGGGAATGACCTAAATCCCAAGCATTTGCTGCGAATGGGAATTGGGATTCTTCCCACTGAGCAAGGAAACCCACGATCGCATCAGCCTGGTGGTGTTCACTGGCCCCGGAAACGATACCATCGTGGAGCCGCTGCCGGGGTCTGAGTTTTTTTTTGACTACGTGAAGCAGACGCGACGTGGGTATGGGTCAAATTAAACCACCAGGGGGCCGCAGGTTTTAGTCCTTGGTTCTATTTGCCAGGGTTCCATTTTGGGTACCTAATTTTGACCCACAGCCACGTGATGCCCACATGGGTTGGCATCATGGGATGAGTCCGTGAGGCCCACGTGCGTCAGCAGCACAAAACCTGCCAAGTGCGCCAAGGGTTTGGGTGCTGGGTGCTTTGGTGGCTGAAATGGAGCGATGCTTCTCTGCAGGTACGGCCCGATCTCTGCTGGAGAGCATCTGACCAGAAAGCTCCAAGCGTCCACCCGTTGAGGCTTGTACAGGAGCCAATCCGAGGGCATCAAATTATTGAAAAGATGTGGCTTGGTTACACAGGGACCAACCCCAAATGAGTGGTGTCCTGCTGGTTTCGCTTGAACCCCATCCCCAAAGGGGTACCCTCAACAAATGACACACCCGTGTTTTGCGCGGTTCGCTCTTGTACTCATTGCATGGCGCCTCGCTCAGCTTTGACATTTGACGCGATGGCCACACGAGTCCATGTGTAGAATGTGCCATGTCAACTGGTCGTATCCACACAGAGAAGCGCTGCAAACAAAACAACATGCAGGATGCAATGAGGCTGTTAAGATCACCTCATAGTCGCCATTGAAAGCATTGTCCCACTCGGATGGCAGCCAAACTGCGTTTGTCGCCGCATTATGCCGTGCTTGCCCAGCAGGGCGCTTACAGGACATGTCCAAGACCTAGGTGTTTCTGACCATAACCCCAAAAATGGTGTCGCTTCCTTTTGGTGTCCTTTCAAACCACCAATGGAACTTGGCGTTCGGAGGGTCCAGAATTCGGACTAATCATGTTCCCGGAAAAAGGGCCATTTCCCTGTCAGGTTCCACTCGGAAAATGCAAACCCAGTTTCAAGCCTTGGGTATGCAAAGGCTGGCCTCCGGTGACGAGGAAAATCTGAGCGCTGACCTTAGCGCGCACTGAAGAGATGGCATTTCGCCCCAAATGGCGGGTTTCCTTTGGGTTTCCCTTTAAACCAACCTGAAAAGGGTAGCCTCAAGAATCACACAGACAGACACACACACATGTGAGGTTTGGACGTAGACGCCAAGGCGTGTGGACTTGGCTTTGATGCCTCTTGCCAGTTTGTCTTGCCAGGGCTCTTCGGAGATCGCTGCTATATGCCGCCACTTGGACCTCCGCTGCGAGGCCATTCGCGCAGAATGTCAGCTGGAGAGCGCACTCGGCGCTCCGCATCGCAGGTCCTTCCTGCCCCCCCGGGCAGCGCAGCATCAAAGCGAGTCTCAGTGACACGAGTACCAGATGCCTTTGAGGAGGCCTTGACATTTTGGTTTGAGAAGGGAAACAAGGAAGACAAAAAGCACCATTTTGGGGTTCTTCTTAAGACACTCCTATATTTCTGCACTAGAGTTGCTGTTTGCATAGGCCGAGCCAGAAGAAGCGCCCGTGCAACCCAAGCCACCCACCATCAGCGGAAAGGCGCAAATTTGCATCTCGATTTTTGGAGTCCAACAAACCTGAGGCGAGATTGGCCGAGCGCTTTGGCAAGAAGCCGCCGAAGGATGCGGTGGAGGCAGGTCCTGGTCCTGAGTGGCGCGCGCTCTCCTGCAAAAGGGGGGGGGTTCTCAAAGAATGGTACCCGAAAATGGTTGGCTTCCTCTTGGTGTCCTTCAAATACCAATCGGCGGCCCACCGTTTTGAGAATCCCTCCAAGTTGCTGCGTCCCAGGCTGAAGACCTGTTGGAGAAAAGCGACATGCCCAAGCTTGTCGACTTCTATAGGGCACTGGTGGATGCTTACCCAGGTGTCCAAGCAAGGCTTTCAGGTATCATGACTTGCATGTTCAGGATTCCACATCCCACTGGCCAAGCTGATGGTTCAGAATTTGCGAGCTGCTGGAGTGTCTGGGTCAATGCCTCGAAATGCCACATGCACGTTCTTTGCCCACGCCTCATTGGTTTGCAAGGGCCACATCATCGTCAGAGGAGGCCCTTTGCTGGACTTGCATTTTATCAAACGCGCTGTTAAAAGCGCCAGGTGAAAAAGAAGAAGCCGCTTTGCTTGACTTAGCTGAGATCTGTTGCGGGATGCGGGGGGTTTATCCCTGCCAGAACATGCCAGATCTCAGGAAGAAAAAGAGAAAGAAGGCGGCAAAGCTTCAGCTCGCCGCGAAATGCGCATGCCATTTGCCAGGAAGCCAAGGAAGCCAAAAAGGAAAAGAAGAGTGCGAAGAAGGCAAAGTCAGAGGACTTGATCGCTTGACTTTGCACATTGCACCGTGCACTGATACTTCAGCTTGATTTGTGAGGAGAGCAAGGAGAGCGGCAAGCCTGCAAGCGAGGGCCACTTGTTTGCAGCTCTCGCATGGATCAAGACATGCTGATACTGGAGACCGCATGCACTGAACAGCTCAGGCGCAGTGATTGATGTTGAGGAGGTCGGAGCAATCGGCGGAAGCATTTTAGGGTTGAGTTGAGTCTACAATGACTTGCCCAGTTTCATGTTTGCTTTTCTTTGCATGGTCCGGGATAATTGTCCTGCCGGTTGGCTTTCATGGCACACGATGGCCTGCAAGCGCAACTTCTTCCATATGGCAGACGAAAGACTTGCATGACGAGCTGGAGGATGAGCTCAACTACGAGAGAGAGCGTATCTCCGCAAGCACCAAAAAGCCAATGAATTCAATAGAGCGATCGGATGGACAATGAATTTGGCTGAAGTAAAAGTTGGAAGGATTTTCCATGGGCAACGTTGATGTTTGCCAAGCCTTCAGATTCAGGATGAGTTGGGTCTCCTTTCAAGTCTGAGCCTGGTTTGGCTGAGCCTGAGTTGCTGTCATTCTTTACGTTCTCATTGCAAAGATCCAAGTTTCCCTTGCAGTGGGCTCGATATCTCGTGTTCACCCTGCGTGCAGGATCTAATTTTGTATATTAGGTGTGATATTGTATCTGTACAAGTGTTATTATTTCTTTGGTGTGTGTGAGGTGTTGAACTTTGACAAATGTAACCGATATTATAATTTTGTAGTAAGGGTTAAACAAAAAGAAAGATGTATATTATTTTACAAATATTAAGGAACTTTATGGAACTTTTATGGAATTCGTATGGTTTTTTGGAATTTTAGGTTAAGGTTATTTTGGATTATTACAAAAAAAAAATTAGGTATAATTTATAGGTTTAATTATTTTTAATATTATTTTTTTAAAAAAAGAGAGAGATATAGTGTAAATATTATTTGATATTATTTAAATGTATTTTTTAATATATATATATATGAATTATGTTTAGGTATTAATTTAATAGTATGTGGGAATTTTATTTTAGGGTCGTTTTGGATTATTTCGAAGTCTATTTAGAAATATGATTATATGTAATTAGTATGAAAGATTATTGTGAGGAGGTTAATTAGTTTGAATATATTTTTGTGTAAAAAATGTGAGATTGAGGGGAATTTTTGGGGGATTGATTTGGTTATATATTTTTTGTTATGGGATGGCTTTTCTTATTATGGAATTTGATTAATAATTAACCAGCATTTGCATATATAAAAAAATATTTAATATTTATGTATTAAATTATAATTTACAAATATATATGTTTATTATTATTATTGATTATATATATAATTAAATTTGCTTAAAAAAATAGAATAACAATGAAATAAATAAGGAAAAAACAATAGAAATATATAAATAAAAATATATATTTTTGATTTCGAAGGAGGTTTTTATTTATTATATTATTTTATAGAATAATGATTTATTTTAAATGATATATTTTTATTGAAGAGATGAAATGAGGTTATGTTGTTTTTTGTTTTCGATTATTATTATGTTGTTTATTTTAGATTCTTTTTCTCTTGGTTATTAGATGAAAGAATTTGATTATTGGTAGTATTTTGTAAATTGTTTGATATATATTTTTCTTTTTTAATTACTAGAATAAAGGAAATATAAAATGAATGGCTTTCTTTCTCTTTTGTTGGCTCCGGGAATTTGGAGGAGCTATTTCATTCTGTTTATTTATTATTATATGTGTTTATTATTATTTTTATTATTACCTAATATTAAATATGGATTTAATTAAATTATTTAATTTTTATATAATTATATAAAATTTATTCGAAAGGTCTTTATATTGAGCGATGAAGAGGAACACTTTTTGGTCTTGGCGTTGATTTCCGCGAAAATTCCGCGAAAGGGGTTATGAAAATTGATTTTTTATTCGCAAATATTTTGTGCAAGGATGATTTGTTAATAGGAAGAATATATCGTTGCAAAAACAATTCTTAGTTAGTAGAAATTGGTTTATGGGAATTTTGAATTTTGGGTTAAGAGTGTAATTGCTAGCCGGATTTTCGCGAATGTTTGGCATAAGATCCACGAAAATTTCATAAAAATCGATGAAACTCCTCGCCAATTTCCGGATATGAGGCCAACGGGTCTTTTTGTGTGCAGGTAACGATTGTGAGCTGGAACTACGGAAATGCATTTCGATCGAATTGAAAGATTGTGACTTTCGAATTGGGCTGCGGAAAATTATTTTGTGTATGATTTTCGATTAAGAAAGCTTTGATTTTCGAAACTGTGAAAATTTAGTTTATATATTATTTTCATATTGAAAAATTGTGATATTTAGGTCGGGCTGTGAAAATCTATTTTATTATTTTCGTATTGAAAAGTTGTGGCTTTCGAGCTGGAGCTGCAAAAAGGTATTTCGTATATTATTTTTGTGATGAATGTTCTGAAAACAGCCCCATAAAAATTCCGTGTTGGGGTCCGCGCAAATTAAATTGTTATAGACAATTATCATATATATTAAATTATTGATTATGGTTTGACCTTGGATTTTTTATGAATTAGCCAAATAATCGGTTATGAGATATAAAAGCTAAATAGAAATAACATCTTGTTATAGAATTGGAATTCATACAAAATATCTGTATCGGCTATTTTCTTTTGCTTTACAGATATACACGGCATTGGCATATTTTCAATGAAACATATTTTGCCTGAGATTAACACTGAAAATTAATATAAAATTATTATGAAATTACCATACAATTTCCATGAGACACCGTTTTTGACCGTAAAAAAATATTCATGATTTGGACCCCAAAAATATAATATGTCGAGCAAACGCAACAAACACCAAAAAATAATATAATATTTATCTATATAATTTCTATATTAGAATCTAACAAGGTAATTTCAATCACGAATTATTGTCGTAATATAATCAGAAGGATAATTTTTACAATCGTCAAATAACGAGATTGAATTCTTTGATTATCCATTATAGGGTATCCTTTTGTAATAATGTAAATTTGGACATAATTAATCTATAAATATTGGAATTTAAAGGTCGTTTCAATTGGGATTTAATTATGATCCTATCTAGTTATCCTATAAATTTAATAAATAAAACAAATATATATTTAAATATATAAGGATTATAAAATTAATATTATATTATATAAATGATTATTATTAACCAAAAAGGATCATTCTGAATTGATCATTAAAAAAACGATCGAGATGATCTGGGAAATTCAAAATTAGTAAATATATTAAAAATAAATAAATATATATATTTAATTGTTCAATTATTTTTTAAATACATAATATTCCAATATAATAATTAATTAATATTTATAATTTATAATCCTATAATATATAAATTATATGTAATAATCATTTTATTTAAACAATATATATATAATCTAATTAATATTATTATAATATTTATTATATTAATAAATTAATATTATAAGAATTTCCTAAAAATTCATTTTTATTCCATAAATACTATATTAGTTCTATTAAAAAATAAAAAAAAAAATCAATATATAAAAACCAAATTTAAAAAAATGGCATAAAGAATTATATCGATCAAATATATAAAAAACCTACAAACCAATTATTAAGAACTAAAAAAACAATAATAAAAAATTAACATAAAAACAAATATTTTATTCATTTTACAATCGAATTCCTAAATTTTGAAAATAAATATACAGAAAAATAAATTAATTGAAATAATTAAAATAATAATATTAAAATTGGATATTGTTATTCTATATCGGTCGAATTACAATATTTGTGGTGAGCGGTTATGTTTGTGCCGGTTACGACGTAAATTCTCGTTTGTATGGCTCGGAAGGCTTTATTTATTTATTTTTAGAGGAGGGGATTTAAATAATTTTACACAGAATTTTTATAATAGAATTTAGCTAAATTTTCCCGAAATTTAGATTGTTGTCGACGATATGGCTCTTAGATTGTCGAATGTTACAAAGAAAATTGTTTTAAAATTTGGTAGTTTTTCGAAAACACATTTCCGGGCCAAATTTCGAAGAAATTTAGGGATTTATTCGAATCGAAATTTCTCGAATATTTCATATTAGATCTATATATGTTTGTCGTTCGCTACATTACGCAATATGTTGTTGTGTAACCATATTTCTCTATCTATATATATGTATTTTTTTATATATCCTAATATATTTATAATTGTATTTTTCATTATTATTTTTGTTTTTTTTTGTTCTTTTTCATTCTATTCTTGTTTCTTTCTCTCGTGTTTTTTTTGTTTTCTTTGTTTTCCTTATTTTTCTCTTTCTTTTTTTCTTTTTCTCCTTTCTTTATTGCCATTTTCTTTTTCTTTCTCTTTGTTTCCTCTCTCTCTCTCTCTTTTCACTTTATTTTTCTATTCTTTTTCTTTTTTTCCTCTCTCTCTCTCTTTACGCTTTATTTTTCTATTCTTTTTCTTTTTTTCCTTTCTTAATTCTCTGTCTCTCTTCCTCTCTTTTTCGTGCTCTCTTTTCTTCCCTCCCGTTCCCTCTTCCTATTTTTTTTTGTTAAATTTTTTATTTATGTTATTTCTCGATTTTTCTCTACATTTTTTTTTTTTTTAAATAAATTAATATATATAATTTTATAAAGATATATTTAATATATATATATAAAAATGTAACATTTGATATTTTGGTCGTGGTTTTACAAAATAAATAATAATTAATTTAAATAATTATTTTAACATTTAATATATATGTTTTTATAAATATTATATAAGATGATTATAAAAAGGTTAAATTGAATTAATTTAATAATGATATTATATTTATAGAATTTTAAATCCGATAACCAAAATAAATTCAAATTATATTCCTCATAAACCCACCCAAAACCCATCTAACCTAAAATCCTAAATCAAACTTACAAATATAAATAATATCAAATACCTCTAATCATATATGTTTATATCAAATTTATAACCATATAAAATCATCCTATAATCAAAAATATGTTATTTGTATATATCAATTCAAACACAAACCGTTTTTTTTTTTTAAACATATTCTCAATATCCTCCCCCCACCGTATTACGAATTAAGATAAAATCAACGTAATATAATTACAACTATATATACATATATATTATTGTTTTTCAATGACACACATACATTTCATTATTTTTCCTTTACTACTTGAAAATGATGGAATTCCAAGTGTCAAACTCATCATTGGATCAATCACTGGGCCATACTGACCAAAACCACAGCGCCAACCAAACCTCCGGATGTCTCCCAAGTGGCCAGTCGGAAAGAACGGGAACGTCCGAGCTGCAGAATGCGTTCAACTGCTTGGCTAACTCCCCATCCTGGGTTTAAATAGAGCCATGGTCGAGGACGCTTCTGCGATAAGATCCCAAGCCTTGCCCCAATGGCTAAAGGTGGTGAGGTGATGGGGGGCTGGGGATTGGGGGTGAGGTGGTGCGGGGGGGGTTGGGGGGGGTTGGGGGGGGGTTGGGGTGGGGGGCTGGGGGGTTGGGGGGGTTGGGGGGTTGCATGTTGCTTGACTAGTCGCTCTTTGAACCTAAGCGAGCTCTCGACCGGCGCCTGTCAGAACGCCAGAGCGTCAGCCGCACTCAAATGAAGCTGACGGTCTTGACCACCAGCTCCACCTCCTGCCCCTTCTGCAGCACCTCCAGCTGTTGCCGGGCCTCCTGGGAGCGATACTTTGGCACCCCTCTTGTTTTTCAGGCTTTTCAAGGGTGCCACAATTCAGGCCCAGCTCAAGCTGCAAACGCGTGGCCTCACGCCGGCGGGCATTGCCAACACACTTCTTGGAGAGAGCAAAACGAGAGTCTCATCGAACCAGGCGAACCAAGCAGGAACCCCGACATGCTAGCTTCAAAGGGAAATCGGCCATAGGGGCTGTGGAAGGCTCCAAGAAGCTGTGAGCAAGTTGCACCTCATAACCCGCGCCCAACATAGGTGAAACTCGGCACACTCGGCTCTCCTGAAAGAGGCGTACAGCCAAAGCCTCGCAGCTGTCCGGACGCAGCGCCTGCCAACAAGCGGGCTGTTTTGTCCTGAGATCAGTGGCTTGGCTGCATCGCACCTGGTGAGAAATTCGCAAGGGGCCTCGAACATGTTTTTGTACATGCATGGCTCAAAATCAAAGGATTATGGGCCTGTACTTCGATTTGGCAGATTTTAGCAGAGGTCCACTGGTCAGAGGTCCACTTTGGACCTGTATTGAGACGTAGCCAAATCTGGCGCAACAGCTGCGCCCGTTGGTAGCTTCTGGCAAGTCAGCTCGCGCCTGCACAGCGGCCAGCAGGAAAGGAAGCAGCACAGACACCCGGCTCAGCCAAAGCCAACGCAACTCGGCTTTGGGGTTGCCAGCTCCAGCAAATCCCACCGCCGCCGCTGCGAGGCCTCACGCTGGAGTGTCCATGCCCCATCGGCCCTCCCCTACGCTTTGATGTGCCCTCCAGGAACTGACAGCGATCGCGTGCAGCGGAGGAGCACAGCAAGGAAAAGAAGTGGAGCTCGTTCATCTGGCACGCAGGGGCGTCGCGCTGTCGTCCCCCCAGTTTGTTTCACGAAGCAAGTATAAAACCTTGGCCGCCCAAGCATTCGAATGCAGCTGGCGAAGTCGCGCCTGCGGCTGGATGTAAGGCTGAACCATAGCAATCGTTGCCGCCATGCCAAGGACGAATGCCAGGGAGAGGTGGAGGCCATCTTCTGTCGAGATCACCTGCGAGCACCAGCGATTCTCGCCGCGCGCGCGACCATGCCTTGGTCAACCACCGGCTGAGGCCAGCGCGTTGCAAGTCGCAGTGGCATGAGCACCAAACAATGGACAACGCAGCCTTCCCACTCCCTCCTGCCGTGTGGCGGTGACCAATCCAACGGCCAAGAGCTTCTGCGCCATCTCCATCCACACGGAGCGGCAGAAGGCCTTGGGGAAACGTGAAAGCCGGATACACGACGACGCGCGCGGCTTGGCAAAAACGGCAAGGCTTGCTCCCTCTTGTCGCCCTCGCTGCCTAAGCGGCCCTACATCAAGACCGTCCACCTGCCGCCATGCAGCGTATTTGAAGAATACCTCCTTGGCACCAGAGAGGAAGCCTCAGCTTTCAGCACTCCAACAAGTGATGCCTCTCGCGTGTGACCCCAGAAGGCATGGCACAATTCGCAGCGAAGCAATCTGCGGAAGGCACTGGTCAATGTCAGAGGTCCTTGCCACTTGGATTTGAGGAAAACGGCAAGTGATGCCTCCATCTCGCATGTAGCACCCGGAAAGTGCGGCTTTTGAATTCGCCAGCCAACAGTTTGCGGAAAGCACCTCACGTTGCCTCATCATGTGGACCTGGACAAAACTGGCTGCTTCAGGCAAGCCCTGCTTCAGGCAAGCCCGGTTTGGTGCCACCGAGGCTCGGTCGGATTTGGAGGCCTTCTCCATCTCACAGCGCTCCACCAGCATCTCCATGATGGCACGGGAGCGGAGCATCCCTGCTACTTCATCCCCACTGTCAAAAAAGCTGCTCACCTGAGTGCGCAAGCAATGCATCTAGACATGCAAGCAGGGCAACTGTCACCAGTTGCCACCTCAGCGAGGAAATGCCCATTCTTGGCGTTCCCAAATTACAGGCCAACTAGGCAATCTGCTAACTATGTTTGCGGCCGGGTTGCGGTTAGCTCAGCAGCTGCTCGTCCTTCACTCTCTGGTGACTTCATCTCCCTTAGCTGGCTCGGCAAGCGCAACTCTCTGGGAGTTGAAGAGAAAACGCTCGTGACATGAGATTCTGTCAGCCAAGAGACGCCTTGCCGTCTTGCAGCTGCAGCCAGACCTACGTAGTGGCTCGCGTGTGTTTGTGCGTTGTGGGCGATTGCACCCTCCCCCAGTTTGTTTCGACTGGAAAGCCACTCCAAGAAGCAACATTTATGCCTTCAAACAATCCCCACCCTCCCTATGTTTGTGTCATTTGACGAATGTGACGGGCATAACCAAATACTCCAGATGCTGGGACACCCTGCACCTTGGACATTGGAGCAAACATTCCTGGTAGTTAGACAGCAGGGAATCATGGGAAGGGAACTTGCGGAATTTCGGGGTGGGATTCTGGAATTGTAGCAATCCCTACATGTGGGACGGTAAAAAACTGAGACATGCGCGCACACACACACACACACACGCACGCAAAGCGCGCGGTTACTGAGCACGAGTGGGCCACCTCGCCTTGCCCTGGAATGCGACTGTCATGTGGGCCACTGCAGCAGCAAGGAGGTGCTCATCATTGACCTGTCGCTGAAACCAGCCTCTGCCCTCGATGCCTTGATGTTGGCCGTAACTGGCCGTGTCCACCATCGCTAGGCAGACTTGGGGGAAGAAAGCATGGTGTGCTAGGCCGCTGTGCCACGACATCATCTCAGCTTCCCTTGCAAATTGGAGATGGAAGGAGTTTTTTGCTCAGGAAGCTCCATGACATTCCAGTGAGACCCATGCCGTCCATTCATGAGCCATGGGCCCTGGCCTGCATAGGTTTCTCGAAAGCCCAAGCCGGATGTAGCTTCGTGATCCAGCTCCTCGTCCCCCTCTTTGCCTGGGCCGTGATGGTCTTGCTGGGTCTCCTCGGACGCAAGATAACAGTACAAAAACCTAGGAAGGCGCCCTCCGTTTGCGTGGTCAACTAAGGACCTTTGACAAGCGGTAAGAACAGGAACGCGTACACACACACAGGCCAGACTCCTGAGGGTGGAAGGGAACAAACTCAGCCACTTCCCTCTCGTTACTTTAGCAGGGCAAGGCAAACCGGGAGGTCAGAACATCGCCAATGCGCAGGTACGTCCAGGAAGCCTCCTTTCCGGATTCAGTGAAGGCGGGCCACTGCCCCCCTGCAAACATTGCACACACACACACACACTTGCAACCTCAAATTATACGGTCAATTGAGACAGAATTCCTGTTTTCTCATGCTTCAGGGCTCCCTATAATTCCCCTTAAAACATCACACCCACCAAGGGATACCCACCTTTCATACGCCACAAAGGTGATGTTTAAAACAACCAAAAAGGGAAATATAGGGACCCGTGTGCTTTGTCGGGGCTTTGTACAGAATGATCGACACTCTTTGACCTGGAGATGTATCCCTCCGATCTCTGGACCACTCCTCTGAGCACGCGTAGGCACGAGCAAGCGTGTCAAAGAACCACAAGCTTGGGGCCTGTTCTCCTAAGAATGCCCCGAGAAACATGTCGGGGGCTCCCATGTTCGGTCCGGGACTGCCTAAGCTCAATGCGTGCTATTGGGGCCTGTCTGGCGGGCACCTGCTTTGACCGTCTCTCAGAAACAAAAGCGCACATCAAGTTGCAGGCAACATCAACATAGACTCAGGCAAGCTTCAACACAATGCGCTGGCGCATATACAGGTACAGAAGCGCAAAGGGAATCACCGCGACATAGACTGCTGCGGTGCCGTAGCCGGCTTGGTAGACCTTCCAAGGCCGCCAAGAATCAAGCGCCCGTGAACCAAACCTAAATCACATCCACATGATTGAGGTCACTGCCCACTTGGCCACGCCCTCCGTTTCGGAGCAGAGCAAGAATGGCAGCTTCTGCAAGAACGCGAAGTCGCCCAGAGGCGAGCCACCTCATGGAAAAGTTGCAAACTATGCCAGCTAGCTGACACAGAGAACGCCTTCAAGCATTCCCTGGCCCACGTTGTATCTTGCCCGTCCTTTGTCGACCAGCTGACAGCGCAGAAGGGCCGCTGATTCGCGGGCGCCGCCGATGAAAAACATAGTCAAAACCTTGAAGGTCATACCGGCACCTCAGAGTCCACCCAAACCTCCGCGCTGTGAGTGGAAAGGCGTCAGCGCAACAGTTTCCTCATTGCATAAATCAGAATCTGACTCTTCACAGCTCCCAGTCCGCACTTGCCAGGCCACCTGAGGGCTTGAGGAGCTCCAGCAGGCCGCATGCCAGAAGCATCAACAGGGGCGCGATGGGGGATGCCAACGCAAACACCAATCGCACTTTGTCACCATCCCAAAGGCATTGAAGCCTAAAGGCGTCCTGAGGGCTGCGCACTGTTAACCCAGTCGACTCTGACCAACCCAAGAGAGCAACCAACCAACGGCATACGGGTTCTTCGCACGAAAATGAACTGACGGCACTCTGTTCCGTCCTGCACCTGTGCCAAGTTCAGCTGCAACACATCCACATAGGTCCGTTCCCAGAAGAAGTCGCGGGAAGCGCCTGATGAGGAAACAGGAATGTTGGGGCCGGGCGCTTGAAGCTTTTGAAGGCTCACTTTTCATCACGTTGCCGCTGTGATGTCGCACGCTGCGCACGGGAAGCGTGTTCGAGGTTGGGCGAAGCACGGGAGTAGTTCCATGGAGACATCTCACGAGAGAGCGACTGCAAAAACACTGCCAGCAGCCGCCATTAACCTGAGCCATGCTAAACATCTGCGATAACAAGTTGCGTTTGCCAGCGCTTACGGCTTACACGCGACCAACTTACGCGCGGAAGCGTTTCATGGCAGAGCTTGCGCGAGGCTGGCGCAAGCACGGTAGCAATATGTTTGCACGCCGCCACAGCGATAGCTTGCGCGAGGCCTTTCTGGCGCAAACGTAGCGCTCAAAGCGACGCATATTGCAACCTAGTACGCGAAGTACACTTTGCACACCTCCAACATTGTCAGCACTGCAATACAAAACATTGGGTTTCGAGCATGCTCCGCCTCAAAAGTGGCGCCTGAGCGCACGTTACGCAAGGATCTTACGCCTTTAACAAATACCGAAATGAGGCTGGCTGGCTGAAGGTCGAACACGAGTTTTCAGGCCTTGGCTAGTGGATGGATCTGGCGCGAGCGCTGCCAGAACTCCATACAGCTGAGCTACTTGAAGAAGCACCACCGCCTGAAGCGCGGCAACTACGAGAAAGTGATCCAAGTCAGCCCCGCCTGCCGAGCAGCAAGCTCCTTCAGAACGTGCCACCTCACGTCGGCCTTTCCAAAGTATTCATCCGTGAGCTGTGTTTGCCTCTTGAATGTTGGACCTTGTTTTCTGTGCCCCCCCGACAAACAATCAACACAAAGGTCTGGCAAGGAGCTCGGATGACTTGAGTATTTGCTTTAGTTTTGCCAATGCTTAGTTCAGTATTGCCAGCACTTCCTGGTGGATCACCACTACTTAGCTTAGTATTGCCCAATCTAAATTTGCAATTGCCAGGACTTCCTTTTAGATTCCCGGAGGTTACTTTATATTGACTAATCGAGATTAGTATTGCCAAGACACACTCTCGGATTCCCGGAAGTTTCTTTTGCACTACATTTTGTTGACAGATTTGCCCCAAGAAGACCCCAAACAGTCAATAACACTAAACAGGATCACTGGTTCTTTGTGCGACCGTTTGGGCAGAGCTTTAATAAAGAGGCTGTCTTAAATTTTATGGTTTCGGGAAGGCTTGCAAAATGAATTTCCTGCCTCTGAGGCCTTTGCTCCTTGAGCTGGGAAGCGCTTTCAGCAACCCCGCCAAAAAAGTTGCACCTTGAGCTGGGAAGCGCTTTCAGCAACCCCGCCAAAAAAGTTGATAGCGCAGCCACCCCCCAAAACAGTCACATTAGACAGAATCAGGCCTCTTGCCCCGTGTCACTGCTTGCCCCTAACCCTTGCGCAAAGAAGATATTTTAACTGTGATGACGTGTGCGCTGCTTCAACAAGGAATTTCCTAAGACTTGTTTGCCTGGGTGTGTTTTCCTGCAACGGTACCGAAACCATGGCTTTTCCGGCCTGTTTCCAGCGCTCGGTCACCACGCCGCGCGATAGCCACGCCACGCCAGCCAGGCCCAGGCTGATGGCGGCCCCACATCCGGCAATTTTCCAGAGACGCAACTTGTCCTCTTGGGACGCTTCCTGACACTTCTCACACTTGCCCTCGGTGGCATAATGCCCAGCGGTGCAGGCAGCGCACAAGACCCCAGTCCGTCCTCAAGCCGAAAGGCGAGGGCTTGAAGAACTTGCGGTTTTGACTCTGGGCCCTGCGAACTTGGCCACACTACCGAAACTTGCCTTCACGGATCTCATCGATGCTGTTGGGGGCAAAGGACCGTTCCCATTTTAGAATACCTTTGCCCTGGAGACGTGAACTGTTTCTCCTCACTCTGTTCTCAGTCACATTGCGGTCATCTGCGCACTCACCCACTCAAACTTTTGGCGAGATGAAGTGCGGCGTGGGGTGGGGTGGGTGACTAGCTGATAGCTACGGGGTTCTAATTTCTAATGCAGAGGAGAAAGTGCCAGATCGACGCCTGCCTGGGTGCTAGGGGGGCACGCAGTCTGGGGTGCTGGTGCGTGCTGTGTGGGGTGGTGACGATGCTGGCGCATTTTTGCCAGATTGACGGGATGCGACGGGGTTTGGGGTGCGGATGCAAGGGGGCATTCAGCAGTCTTGGGGAGCCGATGTCGCAAAACAGGGGTTCCAGCCTCGAGCTGGCTCTCTGCTGGCTTTGTTTTTGTTGCCTCCTTTTGCCGGAAAAACTCGATGTGTTTTTCCACGAAAACGCGGGAAAACAACATTTTGTTCGGACAAATCCTAGGGAGCGAAGGGGAAATGCAAGGAAGTGCAGGGAAATGAGGGGAAAGCAAGGGGACATGAAAGGGAACCCAAGAGGAACTGAAAGGGACATGAAGGGGAAAGAGCTAAAAACCGGGGGCGTGAGGGAATGAAAGGCCAACAAAGGACAAGGAAACCACGAAGGGAGATGCCGGGACATGACCGGCCATGAAAGCCAGGGACATACCATTGTGAAGCGGACACACCGAGAAAATGGAACGGGACATGACGAGGATGGCAAATGACGAGACATGGAAAGGACTAAAAGGGGACGTCAAGGGGAAAGCCAGTAGAGCCGTAGAACCCCACCGACGCAAATCGCATGGACGACCGCCGAAATCAATCTCCGAAAGCAATTCCCAAAGACTTATCATCCTGAAATTTGACGTTTACAGCCAATCTGCCGAAAATTCGACTGAACCCGTGGCCTTCTGAACACATGGGCTTCGCCGGGTCCAGCGGCAGTTCCGCTCCGCCAGGGCAGGCCGCCTCATTGAGGCACTGAAGTGCCCTGCCCTCTCCGGTCAAGTTCAGCTCGGCGAGTTCCAGCTTCTCCGGGCCGATGGGCGCCATCCAACCTCGGATAGTGTTTCGAGGCAGGCGCCAGTTCTCTTCAAGGCATCTTGGCCTGTTTGCCATTTGCACGCTGAGGGAATTTGCTGACTACATAGAAATCCTGAGACACCTCAATTCCTTTGGGCGGCTGTGATGGCCCTAGGTAGACCTGGATTGAAATGCCCCTTGCAGTCAGGCCTCCCTTTCGCATCTGCAGCGCGTTGTTGGTGCAGGTCCAAACTGCTGGACACGGCATGCACTTGGCAGCTGCCCCCTGCTGGAACTGGAATTCTGTCACAGGGCACTTGTAGCACCCGTAAGAGACCCAGCCCGCGCCAGCACTGGTGTCGACGCCAGATCCGGCACGGCAGTGAGGCCGCGGCAAGACCAGGTCAGTGCGATTCTGGTACCTCGGCGGGCTTTGTTCAAATCCATCTGGGAGGGCAAAGCTTTTGTCTTCTTTTTCTCCAAGAGGGCAAAGATGAAAACCTGAAGAGGAGAAAGCCTTCAATCAACTCAAAAGGCTACCTAAAATCTCCGAGACACTCGGCTTGGACCTTCAAGCTGCAGCCTACGACTTCTCCACAGTTTGCGGACTTCACATCCATTGCCCCTTTCCACACCTTCACCTCCAGGGCCCGCTCAGACGGTCCAGCTGTCAGCTCCTGCGCCGCCAGGAGGCCCCACACCTCCACCGCTGGAGCATCGGCCTTTGACACAACGAGGGTGTGGAATGCGGCGCCTCCTTTGACATGCATTGCGGAGCCGTGTGGCGCCGATACATCCGCCGCCTCCACGTGGCCGTCGGCCGCAACGCCGCCGGAGTCGAAGAGGCAGCCGCCCTTGCGGCTCGCACTGCAGTTGCGGCATTGGAGGCGCCCTGCAGAGCCCTGCCGGAGGGTGTGGTTGACGTAGGCGCCACCGCCTTTCAGGCACTGCCTCCGCCTCCGCCTTTTCCAGTGCTTCGCACCCCCCCCCCGGCACCCCCTTCGCGCCTGCTGTTGATTCGCACCTCTCGAAGAGCATTGCGCCGCTGGTGGAAAGCTTCTCCGCGCGCAGTCCGCCTTGTGCATGCGACACATGGGGGCTGCAAGCTGTTTCCAAGGCGTTTCCTTCCAATACAACAAAGCCTTCAGGGTTGACAGAAATAATTGGCACAGACAAAGCAGGCCTGGACCTTCTGTGCAAACTGAGCTGCCGCCTCCGTCGTGTTGCGCAGTGCACACCAGGAAGGCCATCTCGCCTCCAGCTTGGACCAGATCACCCACATCAAGGCCTGCGCCACGGGCTGCTGAGCCCTTTTCTCCGCCCCGACCCGCCCTGTCCTCCGCCACTCGCAGCATGACACTGGGTGAAGGACATCACGCCGGCCCTGACGAGCGCGACATCCGACCAGGCGACCCTCACACTGCGCCAAGTTGGCGCCAAGGCCCCACGCCTCTGGCGCAGGCTGCCCAACGCCGCGCACCCTCCGCATCCCTTCGACTGGCAATGCTGCAGCTCCAAACGCCCCTCCTGCCAAGGACCACTCGCATGGCAGAATGCACAAGGCCCCAAACACAACACAGCCTGGTGCTCAGCAGCCGGTCCTCCATGGACAAGGAGCTGGCTTTCAGGCAGCCTCCCTTGCCATCCTTTGCATCATTGTAGCAGCCCTCCACCCACAAAAAGCCGGAGACTGTAAGGCCATCTGTCACTTGGAGGCAAGCCTGCGACATCCGCCGAGCTGCGCGCGAGCACCCCGCGCTGTGAACGCAAATGGGCCACAGAGAATTGCTTCTTTCAGTGAAGAGGAAGCTACCGAAAGGATGAAATGGAGTCAAACTGCGTTGAGCTGGTTGAAGAGACAAACCGATCACGTGAACTTGGCATGGCAAACGAGAGCGTCAGCCACAAGAGAACGGTGTGGTTAGTTTCGATTTGTTTCCGCTTGCTTTGCGGATTGGAGCATCAGGAAAACAGAAACACTTGAAATAGGGAAGCTCAACGATGGACCAACCAAACGGATGGGCAAGAAGCGAGCTGAACCACATGACTCATGACACATCAGAACATGTTCCGACATATGTTCATCCGAAGACACACTGGCAAGGCAACAGCCACAAGCTAGCGCCAGCTCTTGGGGGATCCATCAACTTTCTTGGGCCTCCCTGGAATTCTTACACTTCTCAAACCTGGAGCCAGTCTGGTTGCTTCTGGCAGGTCATAAAGCGGATTGGGCAACATTAACATCATTATCATTGGAGGAACCCATCCGGTGGCAAAGCGACGCCGGCTGTGGATCCGTGTCAACATCGCCTCCTGGAAAGGTGCAAGTGTGTGAGGGCCCCGGAAGACGGCGGTGCCCCGCACTGTGAGGTTCCCCTGAACGATCAACGGCCCGTCCAACCGGACCTGGCAGCGGCAGCCAGCAGCCCGGCTTCATGCTTTCATTGAATTAGGTAAATCAAGGACAAAGGTTGTTGCCCATCCTTTTTGGGGACTCTCATGCTTGTAATTCGATGCGAAAGGCTTTCGCACCACTGCCTGGAGCTGAAAGGATCCTGTTGAGATGGCTGATGAATGATGCGAAGGCTTTCGCACCACGCGGCTAACTGAAGCAAACATAAATTCAGGGCAACCCAGCGTGGCACAGGTCATGCCATCTTCCGTCACTGAGAAAGGAGTTGCTGGCCATGCCACAAATGTCGAATCTGGGCTCCACGGGCCCAAGCACGATGTCCTGCCTGGACTTTTGTCCCAGCAGCAATGGCGCAGTCCTGCAGCCGGAGGCCTTCTTTGGGCACTTGGTATGAGCCCGTCTGCAGCTGGTCGCAACTGGTGGGGAACCGCTGGACTTCCCCGCGCCCCCAAGCCTCGCGGCACGATTCGAGGACAAACACCGAGCCGCAGAAGAATGTGTCGAAGGAGACTGAACTCGCATGCATCACTCCGAAATATCGAGTGCAATGGCCATCCAGTTGCCCCATCCTGTTCTTTTAAAGAACATCACGGAACAAAAGCCGCAGTCTGGGGATGCTTTATATCGACACGTCAGACGTTAAAGCCATGCTAAAGAACCACACCCCCTCATCCCAAGGATGAGAATGAGCCCCGCCTGATGAACTCGTTCTGCCGTGGTCAGCGCCAGAACAGCTGCCCAGGCAAGCTGCCGAAGCATTGGTGATATGGACCTATACGGAATGGATTTCACATCCTGGATATTTTGATGCTCAGCTGTAGCGGCCCATTTTGAGACAAACCTAGCCTGGTTCCCAGATATGTCCAAGTAAGCGAACCACGTAGCTGCATAACTTGGCAAACATACGGCATTGCCTTGTTACCTTGCTACCTACTTGCAATGGGGAATCTTCGGCCAGCTCACTCGCAATGTCATTGCATGTCATTGCTCGTCTTGAAAAACAACCCAAAGCCCGCCGGAGCCGGAGCTGGCCTCTGGATCGGATCCCCTACACAACCAGTTTGTTTCCACCCCCACCCCTGCCAAACACAAACCTCGATCGAAGCCTCCTCGCGAGTTTTCGGGACAGTGGGATAGTAGCATGATGATCCTTTAGTCTTGCCTACTTTTGAAAACATGAATTTCTGGTTCTTGATTGAGATTGATATTCTGTTGAACTGTTTGAATGATAACAAACGATAAAATATATCTCAACTTTCTCTTCTAGCGTCTGGCCTTCATGAACATATCCCGTGTGGCTTTTCAAACCTACACGTCTTGGTCCTGGGCATTATCCTTGGAACCGGGAAATCATATCAGCCGTGATTGCCGCAGAGCTGATCTGCTTTTCCAATCAAGTCGACCATCCCACAAGCTCTGTGAAACTACCCCGGAGTGCCCTTGATCAACTGTGTGCTGCACCGGCTCTTCAGAATCTTCAGTTGCAAATCCTGCATCCTACGGCCAGGCCCAAGCAAATATTGGGCGCCAATATCTTTCGGACTTGGCTGTCCCAATGCTTGTGCCAAGAATATCTGTACACTGCCCTCGCCTCTCAGTTCTTCGATTGGCGTCTGGATCCTTTTTTGGCCTCCTGGTTGGCTGAACCCGAAGCACCTCTTTGACTCAGAGCAATCAGGGCTACCGGTACGGGAGCCAGATATTTTAACTCAAACTCTGTGAGGCTTGACCTTCAACCGCTTGGTTATGATCCCCCGTGTTGAGGGAGCACTTGTGCTGAGGGAAATTGGCTTCGCGAGCCGTCCATGCCATTTGGATCACGAGAAAGACGATCATGGCCACTATACATTTCCACTGGCCAGAGGTCTGTCACCTCCAAGCACCGGGCAAAAACCAGAACTCCCTTTCTCCCAACCGAAGCCAAATCTGCCAGTGGAATATGTCCAAAGCGGCAACTGACTAATCCTTTTCGTTTACCCTGGTAGAGAAAGTTTTCCCTTTGGGAGCATTTTGAGGGAACCCACCAAACAACAAAATATGTCTGTCCATGTCTTGCGGAAACTTCCCATAGACCTCATTGCACAGAAAAGGCTCGGCCTCGCCGGACCGGTTGGTGCTGACCTTGCCACGTGGAGCCAACAGTTCACAGGCTCGACCAAACCGCGGTTGGAATCGAGAAAATCTTACAGGATGGATGGCCAGTCAAACAGGAAAGTCATGGAACGCGACACGATTCCATGTGCCTAGCGACCAAACCTGGAAGCAAAGCAGTATTTGCAACGTTGTGGGGCTGTCCTGGCTTCGCCTTAGGGTTTGGGGTGGTCAATCAGCCGGTGAATAAGCAAAGGCGTCCTCCATGAAGAGCATGCGCCAGAACGTTGCTGCCAACAAAAGTATATGATGAGTGAGTAGTCGCTGGCGTATGTTACTACAAATGTTGTGTTGTACTTCAGGTGCTTGAATCTCGGATCTCTGAGTAGCCGACTGTTTCCATCTCCGGCTCTTTTCGCTCTTCATCGCCAAACTGCAGGGGATGCAGTTTGCATGGCTTTCGTGGTGTGGCCACATGGCAACCCACGCTTTGCGCATGCTCGGAACGCCGCACGGCTTACCAAACCGGCCACTTGCCTCGTCGATCTCTCTCTGTCCTGCGCCCGGAGAGCCCGGAGAGCCTGGAGAGCCCGGAGAGCCTGGAGAGGCCGGAGAGCCGGGCGCTTCTGCGTCTGCCTCATTGGGATCCTCAGGATCCTCAGGATCCTCAGGATCCTCATCCTCAGCATCCCACAGCTCCTGGCCGAATGATCAAACACTGCGCTGGAGAAGGGAAACCCATGTAAAAGCGGATGACCAACACCCAATGGCCCCGTCCTCATCCGCCTCCATGTCTTCCTCTTCCTCGCCCTCATCGTTCTTGTCCTCTGGGTTTTCCAGGTTCTCGACGTCCGGCTCCACCACCTGATCCTCTTCACGTGCCTCCTCTTCCCCGGCCTCCTGGGCCTCGGGTTCATCTTCTGCTTCCTCTGAGTTGGACTCCACCGCCTGACTCCTTGGCCGGCGCCGAGCGAGCGAGCGAGCCCGCACCGCGCAACGCACGCCACGCACGCCACGCCACGCCCCGCGCCCGACGCAACCTGCGCCGCGCCTGTCTAGGAGCAGCTTGTTGAGGTCCTGCTTCTGAGAGGCTGAAGCGAAAATGCCTCGAGTTGGCCACATTGGCATGTTTGCTGCCACTGGCTGAACAAGTTGAATGCGAATGCTCTGTTCCTGCAAACCTGCTGGGGGCGATTCTTATTGCCGAGCTTTCTGTATAGCCTCACACGTTGTTCAGCCGACCTGGTTCAATCAAGCAGCAGGACCGCACTGCAAAACTGCAAGTCAGGGAAACATCATATCCAGATCCTTGTGGGCGCCCAGTCGCCTGGTGCTCCTGAGCCTAGGCGCGCGGCACATCCATGGCTCGGTGATCTCGTAGGGGATCGGGCACCTTGTGCTCCAAAATCATTTGCCTAGGGCCTGCGTGGATGTAGATACTGTAGCTACAGCGTCCGCTCACAAGCCTGGCCCGACAGACATCGTAGGCGATGCGTCCAATTCTTACATTGGTTTGCAATAGCATTCCACAACATAATCCTTTCTCGCCTCCGCTTCTTTTGGATACACTGGAAAGCCTACTCAAAGACCACTTCCTCATTTTGATGGAAAACAACGCCCTGGCTCTGAATTTCAACAGGGAACCACCTCCATAGTGGTGGGCGTTCTCCATTCTTTCATGATGTCCACCAAAAACTCTATCAACATTTGCCTTGCTCAAGGGCCGGGAAGGCTGAAGGCTGCTGACCTAGCTATGCTCTCAGAACAGTTTTTTATGCTTTGTTTAGCTCTAGGCCAACTCAGCCACTTCACTTAGCACCCTCCTCTCCAATTGTGTGGAAACGCGTGAACATGCATCCACCATACACCTTGGAAACCAGCTCACGAATTTGGCACCGACTCACTCGCCCAGACAACACGCCACTTCAAACAGATCCTGCTGATACTGGCCAGTGCGGAGCGCGATTCGTTTAAAATTTAAACAGCGCCCCCTGGCATCACAAAACTACAGTGGGCATCAGCCCCCCCCCCCCCTCCCTGAGGCGTCCGCGGCATCCGCTCCGGCAGCGGCGGCGCCGAGACAGTGGGCGACCCAGACTTCAGAACTGCGGGCCGGTCCGGCCGGCCGACCGCGGCCCGTGGGGAGGCATGTGCAGCACACACAAAGATGAGGCACATGATGCTGATGATGATAATGATGACGATGATGATGATGATGACGACAGTTATGCTGCTAATAAC